ATGCGTATGCGCGTACATTAACAAAGACGAAATAAAAAAAAAAAAAAAAAAAGGGGAAAAAAGGTAAAGGGTACCTCACAAAATACAAAGTGATTGCTGTGACCAGACCAGAACGAGGGTATACACGAGGCCGGGTTCTCTTAAGAACGAACCACTAACCCCTGCGTGTACTTAGCACTCAATGGAGTTTGCACACAGCCGATACTTCTAGGATATAGCTGGTTTTGTTGTCGGAAAATAACTCCTATACGCATGTCTGACACTACTGCACTACGACTTTCATAGCCCCATAATTAAGGGCAAGGGCAAAATTCATCCAATTCGCTTCCACCCTTCCTTAGGGGTAGGTCGTGCTGAGAGCCTCGGGCCCTTGAAACCGTAACCCTATTGTTTCATGAGCCATTATTTCCGCGGATCGCCTGAGCCTCGCCTGAGCCTGACATGGCGATGTTATATAACCAAAGTCTAACCTGGGGCAGAAGCGGAAACCAATTGGATACCGTCACAAGGTTTCCTATCCTTTTCCTGAACCTGAACTGTTCGCTTACGAGGGCAAAACATATCACCAGACGTAGCGGACTTAAGCCCACGTTCACTGGCTTCCTCGACGGGATGAGAAAGCCGAGTTCATTTCTTTGAGGAGCCATCGCGTAGCTGCCTCAACAATGCACATAAGGAATCTCATACTTGTGAACAAAACTGAGCCTTTTCCAAACTGTGTACAATTGACAACTCCTCGTACCCCTTATCCTTCTTACTGCAACACAAGCACACTTGAGGTGACTGCGCCATGATCCATTCATCTTGTCTCTCGTTGGTCATCCAACGGTTTCGAAATCCAGTACGATCGGCATAGATGCCTGTGCATGATCCCGTAGTTTAGCGTAGGAATACGTTTGTACATACGAACGGGGACCCTACCGAACCGCCGGACTCGCATAAATCCGCGATACTATGATGCACCGGACCGAGTCACCAAACCGGCCCGTTTACTACAGTGGGTTGGAATAAGATCTGTATGGGTGACGCGTCAACTGTCTTAACGCTTCCCAGCTGCTCCGATGAGTGCAGAACCTATGTATCCAACTACCGAATAGAATCGGGAGTGTGCCTGCCAATGACATGACAGCGTTCTCCGCAAATAAAGTTGCCATGATGCAACGCGGGGCCACAGATCTGCGAAGCTCCACTGTACGTACAGAGTACGCCAATCTAGAAACTCACTAAGCAGTCAAGTGAGACATGTTTTAAGACACTTTTACATAATCGAATCTTTAAGGCCTAACTTAACCCGGGGCTTTAGTGTATACGGAGTAAGCTCGTTAAAATGCTACCAGAAAATGACCAGTCAGTTGCGCTGAGACAGTCTCAACCATTTTTGAGCATTTCTCTGAACACTTCATTGGTAGCGTTAGGACGTCAAGTCTGCCATTTTCAGCGGCCAGGCATATGGAACAACACGCTCGACCCGCCAATAGAGCGATCATATCTCTTTATAATCAGACGTTTACTCTATTCGCCGTGCACCCTATAAGATTGTTGTGCTTGTGCCGTTTCCACTGTACGAACCATGTTTCTAGGTTTGGCATTTGTTTGTCTTCTGTCGAGCCGATGGTTGACCCAGGGAAGTGCCCGATCATAAAGGGCTAGATTTTCTGTAAGATAACGCTAACGTGAACAGAAAGCTAATATGGCCCAACGGATTATGAATGGTGGTGTCTTAGATATCTATGATGGATCTACGGAGGCGCTAAAGATCATCGCCGTCCTTGAGTTACCTAGCAGGAGCGCAGGCGAAAGGAGGAACCCAAGGAAGGCTGCAGTTTTTCCATCCAACCGCGTGTACACGTGGGCGCGCCATAGTTTCTCTACGTAAGAAGGAAAGAAAGAGCGCATTGCACCTTGGCCATGCCGCGGATGACGGGATAATGATAATATTTGGGCGCGGGAGTAGGAAATATCTAACCCAACAGGCAATGAGGGTATTTGGACGAGTCTGAAAAGGATCATCGTAGCCAGGGTATATTAAGGCAGTCACTGCTTCCATTCTACGGCTGCAATTAATTCTCCAGGCGCTTACACTTCCGACTCCACCAAGCAAAACACATTGCAAGTCTTTCTTTAGCCAATCTTTCCTGTGCAAATTCTTCTCCCGATCTAGACCAAAATGGGTCCTGGCGCTCTACTTTCTTTATTCCTCCTTGCTGTGGGCGCTTGCAGCCAGGGAGTACAGACAACCGCCGAGGTTAACCAAATCCTGGCCCAGATCGAGTCCGGCTTCTCAATTGATTCTTCGAATCCGCCGTACTACGATACAGAGTGGTACTGGGAAGGAACCTGCATCCAGTACTTCGGGCAGTGCACTAGGACTGCAAAATTCGATCGCAGTTGGATCCAAACCGGAAATGCAACGGCTTTCTATGTATCAAATACGGATGCTAGTGCGATTAACCTGACCAACGATCCATCGACAATGACGGTAACGAACTCAACCTCAACAACGGACTCTACGACTTCAGGATGGACCATCGGCGCGAAGCTGTCTGGCTCAGTTTCCGGTGATAGCGTGAGTGGGGGAGCTGAGGTCTCAGCGACTTACTCGCAGTCCTCCACTACTGGTACGACTGTAACCACGACCGTTTCCTATACTGCGACTTGCCCGGCCCAACACCAGTGCAGCGTTGAGACCTGGACCTTCCATTTGAATATTACTGGATCTTGCTTATCCCACGGCATGATCAACTGCCGCTCCCTAGGGACGTTTGATCAATGTACCAACCCTCAGACCGCATGCCAGCAGTACCAGGACATGTACACCGATCACTGTAACCAACCCCTGAGAACATGCAATGTGCAGACCCCCGTCTACAACAATGATGGGACGACCCCATACAGTCAGATTGTTCTCATTGCTACCCCTATCAATGGGACGTCGACCATTGAGAGATCCGGGCGTCACGAGCAGCAGGTAAAGTACAAGGTTATCGGCTAAAGGCATGTATCTAGTAGAAGAGAAGTCCGGAGCATGTATTCCGTTGATGGCCGTGGTGGAGGTGAGAGTTTGCACAGTTTCCATGCATTTCAAGCTATAGGTCTTCCGAAGAACGGTTCCACCACCTACGCTCGTTGTATTGTTTCCCAAACCCTATTGCCAAGAGTCACTGTTTGTTAAGATTGCATCTATTACAATAAAATGGAAGATCGCCTCCCAGAATGATATCAAGGTCCTCTTCTATCACAAACTAACGGGGAAATTAGAAGAATCACAGGCCTGTAAGGCGGGACTTTAAATTCCCCCAACGTAAGGGAACAGATGTATCCACTATAAAAGTACATGGCTCAGAGTGACTGCACTGTGTGGCTTTGTATCCTTTTGCCGAATCCGTGGTTCAGGGTTATGGCCAGCAGGTAACTTTTACCCCATCTTTTCTCTCATCCAATCCACGTCGATCTAACACTACTCATTGGAGTAGCCCTGGTGGGGCTTATAGTACAAAAGTGAAAAACACGGTTGCGGAAGTTAATTATTAAACCAGCTCATCACTTTGCTTCCCCCTTTTTGGGGGGGAGTCCGTCTACGTCTCTTCCATGCTAAGGAGCTACTCAGCACTGGACGAAGTCCTGTTGCAACAGCACATTCAGGATGCCTCGGCCTCCGGTCAAGTTGCAAGACCGCAAACGCGCAATTAAAGCGTGCGCTCCCTGCAGGGCCTCAAAAATACGATGTAATTCGCAAAAGCCTTGTGAAGGATGTAAAAAGCGCAACATGATCGATTCCTGCGTCTACCTGGAGTCATCGACATACGACGGATTTCAGTGTCGCCGAACCTCCTTGTTGCAGAGCAATCCTCACGATGGCACGTTGAACAATACTGCTGATGGCCAGGGTGAAAATGGAAAGCATCCAGCCTGTATCCCAGACCTTACAAATAGGACGATAATTCCTACAGATCAGAGTCGAACGTTTCTGAGTTCCAAGGGGGAGAAAGGTATTTCTGCAGGCTTTCAATAGATCAGCATTCTTACTGAACGCTGCATAGTGTACACTGGAGACAGATCTTCTCTTTCATACTTGGATTTTGTACGCAAGGTTATCAAGCGATATGCTGGCGCTTCTTCTTTCACTGAGGCTGAATTTAAAGATTCCATGTTTGAAATTGATCCGAGCCCGGCCAGTTCAGAAATCTTGCCAGAACCAGACGAGGAACAACAGAAAGGTTTCATAGAAACCTACTTTGAGGCAGTAAGAAGGCAGTCCAGCTTGTCTTGGTTGTTTGTTTTGGCTAATCATCTCTCGCAGTCCAGTGCGATTCTGGACCTCGTTTCAAGGGAGGAGGTTTACGCATACTTGGGCCTGAGTTCCGTGCGATTGGACGAGACTCATAGACGAAATATCAGCGAACTGGCAATAGCACACCTAGTGCTTGCCATCGGGAGTCAGTGTCGAGGTGTGTCGCCTTCGGATTTGACATATGCTTCTAGGTATTTCGCACAAGGGCAGCAGGTGGCTTTTAATGGACTGCTGTACGACCCTAGCATGAATATGGTGAGGCATTTTCTGCTCATGGCCTTCTACCTCCTAGGCGCTTGCCACAGGAATGCTGCGTGCATGTATTTAGGGGTCGCATGGAAAGCTGCCAATACTTTGGGGCTCCACAATACGGATCATTATCAGCTCTTAGCAACGCGGGAACGCAACTTCAGGTACGATGAACTGATATTCAATCAAGCATAGCGAGCTGACGGCAAATCAAGGCTTCGAACATGGAAAAGTCTCTGCGTGATGAACACCATCGTCAACTCTATCCTCGGGAGACTCGAGCATTCATATCGACCTTGGCCGGATGACAGGCGAAACGACAATACCGACTTACCCCCACAGCTCGGCAGTCTTACGGTCAATCCGACTTACGAGCTTTGCCAGCTCATTGATGGCTTTGAACGCACATTAAGGAAAGAACGCCGTAATACGTTGACCTTGACCGAGAAATACCTTCATGACCTTCGTGGATGGAGCCAAAGTCTACCCATCGAGCTGCGGCAGATGCCGAGTATTCCCATCACGAATTCGAACCTCGAGAATAGGGAGCAGCTCCTGGGGGCAATACAGGTTACTTGCTTGTACTATTTCGCTGTTTTGTTAGCAACGCGGCCTTTTCTTACATCGAATATTATGCTGAAACTTGGCGATCGGGAATCTTCCCTTGCCGAGAATCGCGTACCGGAACTGGATGAAACTAGAACGTCTGCCCATCTTGCACAAGTATGTGTAGCTTCTGCGACGTACATGGTGAAAATGTCACAAGCGGCGATGGAGACAGGGTGCTTACTTCGGAACATGTGCCATCTTAAGTGTGTTTGCTCCCTGAGGCCCCTCTTTCTCGAAGGGTACGGACTGATAATGCGTCTTTAGGGCGTGGTTGTTTGCGTCTGGCTTATTGCTCGGGTTTGCGTTCTTTGCAGAAGAAGGTATACCCACTGAGACTGATGAAGCGTTCCACGCAGCTCGATCGGTTTTGCTGTATCTTTCTGGTCTAAGCCCACAAGCCAAGCGATACTACGAGATCCTCACCTCGCTTTCTGAGGTAATCAACCACCAGCGCAAGCAGCGTGTAGAGGAGAGGCGTCGGATTACTAGCCAATTCGTTGAACAGATTTTGCATTTCGACGCCCGTCTACCCAGGATTGATCAATCGTACCTTACTCACCGCTCCGGAAGTGATGGGCATATTCCTGGGTTGAATCATGACACTGCCGATCTAGACACTACCTTCTCATTCGTCTCGGGTCTGAATGTGGAAAATGCGGCTAACTTGCCAATGCATTGGAATGAGTTGGCCATCGACTGGCAAACATTTGGCATATCTAAGGACAGCACGTGAATGGTATGAAAGCGATATTAAGGTCAAAATCTACGTGCACTTGATTGGGAATTCAGGCAGTCAAAATGGATGGACAATAATGACATAGGCGTCTGGTGGTCTCGAAAGGTCTTTATCCCTGCAACAACTACCCGTACAGTTATTAGATATCATTTACTCGCCTTGGATCGCCATGGGAGCCATCTAACAGCTGGCTTTGCAGCAGCTGCTGCTGCTGCAATTATCCTTATAATCCAAACAGGTATTGGAGAAGCTGGATATCTGTGAGCCAATCCCTAAGCCCCCTTCTTCTCCCTTTCCGAGCTGTGCAAGTTAATCAACGAATCCACCATGGCTTGATACACCTCATACTCTTCGGCAATTACAAAGGCAAGCACTCTCTGTCACAAATCTCCTCAAATAACGATCACAAAGGCCTTTACAACCTTTCGACATGGGTATATGGCAAGTTATTCAATGGTTGCGAGATGGCCACGCACAGCGCGGCGCTTCCGGCAAAGGAACATCATGATCTACGTGCAGCCAATGAGAAAGAGAAGAAGATAAGAAGCGATATAGACGTTGGATGATTCCTAATGAAGGGCTCTGTATACAGGAAGCTAGAGAAGACACGATCAATGTAAACAGGCTGCGGTCATATATTGATTCCGTGCCTTAACCGGAGCCCCTAAAACGCGCTCCACTGAGGTGTTCAGATAGCTTTCGTTATAGGGCAACCAGAGTTTTGGATATCCAACGTATAATACTAGGCAAATCTAATAGAAATAAAACCGGGTGAATCTAATAGAAATAAAATGTATTCTTGTGGTTCGTTGAGATAGCTTCAAGGAACAAACGCGTGGAATTGGATGCGGGTGGGCGACTCGCCCGGGGATTACGTTAAGCAGAGCAATTTCATCAAAGCCCTAGAAGCTCTATGTGCGTGGAAGGCTATCCGCCATGGGCGGGCACCGTCTCTATTCCTATTCGGTAAATAGATACGTGGTTTCTGCATTCATCAAAGCACTTGGAGCGGCTTTGAGACAGGTACGTGTCACCTATACAAAAACAATATCAAACCCACAGAGCAAACCCGCCGATCCAGGAACTTGGTGACTTGGCCTGTGTATCATGATATCCAGTTTTTGTCCTGTGAAGACTGAGACATTCATCCCACAAAGTGTTCAGATGGCTAGCATAATTTACATCCGCATGAGTGCCTTCTCAACTTCGAGCTCTACCACGCCGTAAGGGCCCTGAATAAGCCTGATGTACTACTTATGACCAGCTTGATCTGAGTTCTCGCAAAATGGTTTCGTGTCTCTTCATGATTCCAGATTCCAAGTCAGCGACTGGAGAGCTAATTTAACATGCTGGGCGGTATACACCTGGACCCCAATATATTTGCGGCAGTCTCTGTGCTGCTGTACTATTTACTATATGACCCCTATTTCGCAGAGTAGTATAAATAGATACACACGACTTATTAAAGTGTTCATCTCGAGCATACTACGGGAGACACAGTTTAGGGACCTCTCTAGCGCCGATAATCAGGCCCCTACAATGTAAATAGATTCGTACTAACAAGACCGGCCATTTCTACTTTGATCTGGAACCTTGCTATCTCCCGAATTACTGGCAGAATATATACCTATCCAGAGGTTTGTCCTTTAAGTTTAACCCCTGTTGTCAGAGGTACTATAAATACCCGAGAGCCTACTCATGTAATACCAGGAATAGACCCCGGCGATATCAGTTCCACGCAGTAGAGTATCCCTTTTATATCTACGGTTCAAGGATGAATGATGTATATAATTTCCCGTTGTCGAATATGCCAGGCAATGTATAATCCTGGTCCTCACCTTGTCACCTAGTGAATCTACTCTTGCACCTCATAACCATGTAGATAAGTCCCACCACAGTAAAAAAGTATGCAACAGCTCTTAACATTGTCCCTATCCCGGCATGATCCGCAATATAATTTAGCGCCCCGCCGTCCGCCCATTGCCAGGACCGCCCCGCGGCATGCCGTACCACCGTACCACCAAATCCGTGGTCGAGCAGCCCTATATCGAGCGGTAGCGTGTTGTGTAGCCAAGCGTATTGTCTAAACGCAGCCGTGACCATGATTGGTCCTGTAGACCAAAACACCTGCAGGTACGGCAGGATCATGCCCCGAGACGCGAGCCTGCTACTCCGCCGCTTGGCCTCGTAGAGCACCCACCGCAGGAATGGAGATCCAGGCTTGGCCATAAAGAAATGGTTACTGAGACCGAGTGTGCCTGCCGTCCGGGAGAATATGGCTTGCAAACCAAGTGTTTGGAGGCATTGTAAATGCTCAGCTGAGCAGGGATATACGTCCAAGTCGGAATAGATTGCCAACCTCAGTGTGGACGATGAGCAGTCTCGCAAGGTCGGCACGTTGAATATCGTGAGGATATTCGTTATACGTCGGCAACAACCAAGTATAATTTGCCTTGATGAGCTCAAGGACATCGTCGTCAGCCCATATCTTAACTGTGTAGTTCGAGGGCTCAAGCGTGGCCCTCCATGACGCGCGAGACGCTGTGATTTCGGTGGAATATTCTTGGACGTCGGTTGTTTTCCATATTAGATGGACAATGTTTGGTATTGCGAAACCGACAACAGGACGAGGGTTATTGGTACGTTCGAGCGCGTTAGGAGAACAATCATCCAGTATCTGTAGAGACCCTGGCAAGTGCTCGGAAAAGGCAAAATCATCGGTGTAGCTGAACTGAAGAATGGCAAAGCCGACGACGGAGAGAGCCACCCCAACGATGAGCTTTCTAATTTTTCGTCCTAAGACGACAGCCATGGTATTCCATTCCATGAGACCTCGCGACCCCAGCAGTTACTGGGCCTTTAAGAATGGGTCCACGCTGGGCGCAGCATAGGGTCCAGCGCGTAGCACAAAGACATGCCATGCCTGTAATATTTGCTGCAGTATTGGACCACGGTTGGGTAGACGCCTGACCCGAAAGCCCGACTCACAGAAGAGTCCCTAAGTGAACTAGTGCCCGTCCGCTGCCATGTTAATCATACCCTGTTTCTACGGTGTGCGACTATTAAGAGGCCGCGAGCCAAGTCAATAAGTGGCTTTTGCCCTACAGATCGCCCAGGGTCGGTATTTATCTGGTTATTTCTACGATTATCTTGATTTAGGATTAGCGTTAGGCTCCACACTTGTCTTTGCTTTCTCTAGTCCGTCTCCGGTCGTGCATATAGATAGTCGAAATCGTGTTACTTTATGGCTGAAATTGACTGAATATCCTAGAATATCTCAGCAGGCACGCTTCACTTCACCTCCAAGTCTAGTAATTTTAGATGGAAGCCTTGGCACGAACCGCTCAGTTGGCAACGAGAGAAACTGACAGACTAGGTTGAAAGTTGATAACGATGCCCGACCAATCCCACGGAGACCATAGCTGCTCAGGTTGGATCGAGATCGGTTTCACCGCATATTTATTGAAATCCTTTCTCAGACGCTCTCGCAGAACTTGCCATACCTAGTACGGTTACCCTAGTCTGTCCCCTTGTTCTTGACAGTGTTCCGAAAGAAACTCAGTTAGAGAAAAGTGGTGAAATCAATTTCGATCCAGCCTGTAGCTGGCCGGCCGGTCTACTTGTTCTGGTTTCCAATCAAATCTCCCTAGACTAATACAAGTGGGGACTTCAATATTGGATGAATCCGTACCTCTATAGATGGCGCGTGCCCTGTCCCAGGACGACCAGAGAGCGTCGGGGAAACCTCTCCGAGAATTATCAGTTTTCCCTGCGCGTGTAACGGGAAACGCGAAACTTAGAACACGTTGACTTCTCCGGAAGTCCGAAAATAGCTTCCACCATTCTAGCTTTGAGGTCGTTGTCTGGCATATATATATTTCATTCACTGCTGCCTTAATGTTAGAGGAGGTTAACGAGAGCATGAGCTGGCTCATTCACAAAAGATGTCCTTGGCTAATATGAATGAACATTGATCCTCGAAAGATAATGAAAGTCCAGATAACTTGTCGTGAACCTCATCTAACTTGCAGGCAACATTATTGTTCTAGGGCGGTCTCGGAAGCGTCCAGGTTCTCGGGCCGTGCAGGACAGGCTTACAGCTCCGGGGAGGGGGAGGGGGCGAGTCAGAAATTAGTGGCTGGGGGTCAAGGTGGGGCGGAAATGGCAGCTCGTAGGGGTCAGAGAAAATACCCCCCAGGAGCTATTTCTTACTAATTATAATTTTAATAAGATAAAATTTTCTGACCCTCTTCCAGCTCTCATCACATGATATCTTATCTAAGTACGATATAGTTATTATACAGAGTAATTATTAGATCTGTGACAAAATCTATATTAAACTCTACCGATCCTTAAATACTGTCTAGTTTAAACAGAGTTTAAAATAGCCCAAACTTCACGTGACTAAAGCTCCGAGGGGGTCAGAATTCTATTTAAGTCTGACCCCCTTTGGAGCTATACCACGTGATTTATAAAATTCTGACCCCTTTCAGCTCCTATCATACAACCAAGGCGGTAGACCTCCGGTCAGACCCGCCCTGACCCCCACCCACTAATTTCTGACCCCCCGTAACTGTAACCCGGTGCACAGGACGAGGGTGGGCAAGCCCGCCCTGTGGGGCTCGGAACACTACTGACTTCACCCGAAGAGCTTCGCAATGCAAGTGCTCCGACCGTAGACGGATGCAATTATCGGCTGGAGTAACACAGCTCTTATTGACTAGGTATCTAACGTTAAGCTTAACTAACTCAACAGATCTACTAAATAAACGGGATAGCTACTCCGTATGCTCGGTTCCGTAAGGGTGGGACCCACAACGTTGGCTTGATTCTTGTATCTGAACCTGGTTACTAGCCAGCCGTCTTTCCCCATGTTTGTCACCACTCAACAAACAGCACATTCTGGTCCCTAGGCTTGATTCCACTCAACGTTTGACGGCGTTTCTCGCTCGGTGATTGGCGCCTATTTGATGTTACTATTCTTGACCTCTTCTGCCATGAACGGTTGCATGAAGCCCCCCCCCCCCCCCCCCTTCCCCACCGGCGCGAACACGAAGGTGACCAGCGTCGAGTTCCTCTTTGCCTAACTGTTGGGATGGGATGGCGCCGGTTCGCGGGCGACTGGAAATTCACAAAAGCTTTGCTGTAAACGAGTAGTATAACATGGGTAATTTGGGGTTTGTGGGGCTTCTTTCTAAGAAACTGAAATGTACACTGCTGAGACATGAACCAATTGCATTACAGCCAAGTCTCATAGAGGTATTCACTCTAAATCCATGGTGCACTGTCAAAGTGAAAATACCATATCCCGGTTCTTGTGATAGTACGGGTCAAAATGTAAATTTCATATATATTGGATAGGCAGCATGAGAGAGGACTGTGGTTTCCATCATAGACTACGTGGAGAGTGTCTAGAACTCTGGATATGAATATATTGATCCTAAGACAGTGCAGGTATTGGCGTCTCCTATGGGCAGCTTTTTCAGCAGAGGAATCGACGCCGGAACAAAACTCGGGAAAAGCCTGGGCGGCCTGCTCACCCTGCAGGATGTGGATGGAGGGTACGGGGAGCGGACCCTGATCTGGTTTATCGACCGCATACATGGGCTGTGCGGTGTTGGCGCCATCCAAGCCTCGCTGCCGTTCGACAAAAGACACTGCGATGGCGCTAAGGCAGATCTTCCGCCGCGACATTTGCCGCAAGTATGCTGTGTTCAAGGTGCAGCAGTAGAGTCATTTGCGATTATGCGTAACGAATCAATGGATATAAAATAGAAATCGTAAGAGGAGATTGAAACCGCAAGATCTGTAGGGCGTTGTGGTCATCCGGTCATAAGTTACTCGAAGAGTCTATTATTAAGCATCATGGCTCCCATGGTAGCTTTCTGGTAGCCCCAACCTTATGCACAAGTACGACCCGAATTAATCTGGCCTCTGGAGCGGGGCAAACTCAACTTCTCTCTTTCTTCACGCCTCCTGCGCCTGGCTGGGGCTTATTCTGGGCCGAATATGGCCACTCTTTCGTCGACATCGATTCACAAACATGCCTACTGAATCAGGGTCAGGAATTCAACTGACAGAAGGAGACAGCTATAGCGCAACCGATGGCGACATAGGGTTCATCCGGCGTGGCTTCGGAGAAGTACATGCTGTCAGGCAAGGTCTTTACCAACGGCACCTTCAGATGATCGCTCTTGCTGGCACAATTGGCACAGGTCTATTCCTCAGCTCTGGCCAAGCACTTGTAATGGCAGGCCCACTGGGTGCATTCCTTGCCTATTCTATTGTTGGCCTTGGTGTTATGAGCGTTGTCCTGACGGTGGGAGAGATGGGTGCCTTAGTACCGCTCAGCGGCGGTCTCGTGCGTTATGCGGAATACTTCTTCGACCCCGCCATGGCTTTTGCCAATGGATGGAACCAAGTATACTTATACTCCGTCACTCTCCCTGCTGAGATAGTGGCAGCCTCGGTTCTGATTGAATTCTGGATCATCATTAACAACGCAATCTGGATTACCGTCTTCAGCCTCTTAGTGCTTATCACTGCGCTGGTGTTCGTCAGAATCTATGGAGAGCTTGAGTTTTCATTCGCCATCTTGAAAATCCTGCTAATCATTGGGGTGAACATCATGGCGCTAGTGATTACTTGCGGTGGTGGACCAACTGGCCAATCCATCGGTTTCAGATACTGGAGAGACCCAGGGCCTTTTGTTCAGTATCTTGGGATCAAAGGTGCTCTTGGCCGGTTTCTTGGTTTCTGGACCGCTCTAGAGAATGCAATCTTTGCATACTCGGGAATCCAGAATATCACGATCCCAGCGGCTGAGACCAGGTCTCCGCGACAATCAATACCAGAGGCGACCAGGCGTGTCTTGTACCGCATCATCCTCTTCTATGTCCTGTCAATATTCATGATGGGCTTGATTGTTCCGTCGAATGATCCTACTCTTCTTCAACTGACTGGCACGGCTTCTCAGTCCCCATTTGTTATCGCGGCTCATCGGGCAGGGATTAAGGTCGCACCCTCAGTCATCAACGCTATTGTCATTACATCCGCCTGGTCCGCTGGCAATTCCTATATCCTTTTCGGGTCCCGCATTCTCTATGGCATGGCGGTCCATAGACATGCTCCAGCAGTATTCAAACGGCTGAACCGCTTCTCTGTCCCTTATGTGGCTGTCAGCTGCATAGGAAGCTTCATGTGCTTGGGATATATGTCCCTCTCCCACCCAGCAACCGTAGTCTTTCAATGGCTGCGTGATATTGTAGCAGTTGGAACATTGGTGGACTGGCTCATTGTCTGCATCGTCTACCTCCGATTCTACTACGGTTGCAAGAAACAAGGAGTCGACCGACACAGAGAGCTTCCATGGGCCGCACCCTTCCAGCCCTACTTCACCTGGGCGTCTCTGACCTTGTTCACCCTCTTGCTTATCACCGGTGGCTTCAGCACATTCATCAGCGGCCACTGGGATACCGAAACCTTCATCTCATCGTACATCAACATCCCGATTGTCCTGGGTCTATATCTGGGCTACAAATTCTGGAGGAAAACGCGCATTATCGCCTTGGATGCTATCCCGTTGGCCGGTCTGCTTCAGTTCTATCTGTCCCACGAAGAGGTCGAACCGGAACCACAGCCTAGAAAGGGGTTGGCAAAGTTCAACGTTCTTTGGTAGCTATTTTCTTGTAGTTGCTTACGACGTGGCGAAAGCTCAGGTGCAGCTACTAGTTCCGACCAGATGACGGGAGTGCATCTTGTACATACAATTCCTTGGTATGCAGATTAAAAGGTAAATATAGATATTTACAAGATGATTCCGTACATTAATTATGATATATGATCCGCTGGATAATCACCATGAGCACACGTCAATCCATCCCTTGTTAGCTGCCGACAATAGCCCTTCAATCCTCATAGTACCCGATCCATCCGACCAGGACAAGAGGGTTTTGCTACGAACCATCCGTCATATCATCGCAGTCAGGCTTTTTATTGAAACAAGCATACCCGATCCCTTAGTCAACTTCATTATGCCACACCCGGATGGTATCAAAAGCAGCCCCCATGATGCAATTCAACTGAGATCTCCATAATATCTCGAAACCAGGTAGCTCCCGTCGGGCCCTGGGAGCGTAATCGCCCGCCACGTTATACCGCCAGATCCTGGCACTACCACATACATACAGCAGGCTATCTGGTCGCAAATTATATCTGTGATTCAGGGGAAGATTGATCGCTACTATATACAAGACGAATATCACATTGCCTTCCAATCAAGACTGAATAAATTCCGTATCCGAAACTGTATTATTCACTTGAGCAAGCCATAATTCAGAATAGTGCAAACCTTTAGTTGTTGAGAACATACACGACGATTGACTCGTCCCTAATTCCTATTGAAGACCTGTTTGGGTTGGGATTTTCGCAATCCTGAAGTCACTATGACACCTAGACTATGCTAGCGATAGTCTGGGCTATTTCTTGAGGAGTAAGAGTCGTTCCGTCAATCGTCTTCAAGCCAAGTGCACGCTACTCCGCAGCATCGCCAGTAGCCTCTTGAAGTTGTTCATCCGACTCTTCTCGCCGCTGGAGGCGCGCAGCGAGCTCTCGGTCATCACAATCAAGAATTATCCATTCGCGAATCTGCCAGCTGGCCAACTGAGCGGGTATACAGACCCCGAGAAGAAGAACGAGGTTAGGGGCGAGCATATCTGACACTGGTTTCACAAAAGCCTCGTAGGGTTTCCATAGAGATTCATTATCGCGAATCGAAAGTCCAGGCAACATTTCTGGCGGAGCTATGAGTTCGTCCCAGTCGATAACAATCCAGCCTGGAAGTAGCTTCGCGAAGGTATGGCACGATGGCTATTTTTCCAGAGCCAGGCGCTCCATGAAGGCAATGGATGTTATCGTCGTCCATATTGCTCTTCACTCGTCTTTTCGTGGCAAGGAGTGGTTGACTAGAACAAGTAGCGCATATTAGTACTGATGTTTGCTTTTTCCTGCTTCCAGCTGCCGATCATCCTAGCGAAGCATGGCTGCGCCTTGGGCATCGTGAAGGAGAGGCAATAGATTCCACAGAGCCTGATCGACAGATATGCCAGTCAACACACACATTCATAAATCTTGTCTTCGGCTGATTGCCGCCTCGCCATGGCATTACTTGTACTTCTGGTGTTTTGATTCTCTACATCGGATGAATGCCACCTACCTTGAATTCTGTAAGTCGGTACCGGACTAGTCACTTTACGCCCTCACTAAGTAGCTGATCATTATACATTATACAGTACGCTCCTTGACCAATGTCTATAATTATTCTTGTCTTTTTATCCATGCCTTCGACCAAGGAGCTCCAAATGTAGGGGATGGGGTGCTTCACATGGGTCTAAACTGTAAAGGAGGCCCTCTGACTCAGAATGCCTATGACTTCCGAAATTGATGCTCGTGCACTGCACGTAAGAAGTGGCAACAGTTGCAACCAGTCGTCGTTTCTTTTTACATGAGAGGTTGGGTGGTGGGGCAATCTTCCGCGATTGAGATATAAGGTGGATGTCAAATACAAACTAATCGTAGTGGGGCATAACTAATTAATCAGGTACTATTGGTGCGACCCCGCCAGCAGAGAAAAGTCTCTGTGATACTGTCTGCATCCTGTTCCAATCATACCCATTACTGAGACTGGACGATGAGCGGGCCGCCGGGAGCATCCCCGCTTCCCCCCTCAGCTCGTATGCTTCTCTTGACCCACTTGGATGATTCGTTGGGTGACGAAAGGTTACTAAGAGATCTGCATTTCCCTCATGCAGAAACGCACAGACGTGCAAGACATGACAATTGCACATCGGCGGACTATTCGAGGCAAATGAGCCGGAAACTACTTGGGCGCCAAACTAGGCCCTTGAGATAGAAACGGCTCTGGGAAAGGAACCCCGGAGAGAAAGATATACGAAAGCCTACCTGCAACAGAAGCCTAGATCGACCATGGGATATTCCCATGTTACAAGATCCTTAGCTTCGAGGATGGTCCGCAAACATGTTAATTCGCCTGATTGCCTCTGGCTGACAAGGTCCAGTCGGATGCATATTCCCCCACCTTCAGCTCAGCCTGCCATCAAACCATGCATGGTACTTCTGTTCCTCGGCCAGGTGCTACTACTCAAATGAACACTACGCTCTCTGATTCGCATGGCTAAAGTGCCTTGTTATGCATCCTTCATGTATCGTCTCAGCTGATGCCGAACGCCACGTCATTCGCAGTTATGCATTGCCGCACTTGACGAGCTGCAAACCAACCCCCCAAAGCTATATAAGGACCACGGCGGATTGCCAGCTTTCTACAAGAACAGGAAACCGTGGGTGCACGATAGCCCCTACTGCCCTTGATCCAAGCCAACCCTACCTAATCTATCATGGCAGACCCCGAGCATTTCACCAATCCATTCTGGGCCCCCGAGCCAGATGGGATACTTTCTGGTCATGTCCCCTATTCCTCTATTGAAATGACGATTGGAGGCTTGGGGACAATAGCGGTCCGGTCAAAGACAACAGGGACGTTGGAGTTTATTGTCCGCTCCGCGGGACCGGATCTCCCAACCTTGAAGCTCACGGTCACAGCTGACAGTTGTGTCCTGCAAATGAAGGATGCCGATTCGAAACCATTCAGAGATATTCCCGTGATTGAATACCCAACAGAGCCGAGCACATCAGAAGGCCCGAAGGAACTTCCTTACGTTTATTATCCGAAGCAACCTGCATCTGCCTACTTGAACGTCCAGTCCAAGAAGGATCCTACTGTCTACTGGATATCGGTTGATCGAAGTAATAAACGCTTCCGATACGGTCAACATCTCACAAATGCGTCCCTGACGTACCTGGAGGCGCATTTTGACGGGGACAAACCGTCCAAACAGTGGATGGACCAACTGAAGTCAACCGAAATCCAACAAGATGGCAGGGTAAGCGGCGTTCCCCGTATCCAGCATATACAAGCATTTTGATGACCCCTCTAGGAAATCCCAACACAGGACGTGAGATACGACCCCTTGCCCGTCACGATGGACAAGCCCCCTCTAGTCGTCTCAGATGAGCAGGTATCTCTCGACGATCTCGACAAATACACTCGAACAACATATGCCAACTTACCTCCTGGCTGTCAAGACCTGTATCACAATGTCGCGGGTCACAATATCTCATTGGAGTCCGCCAGTTTTCCTCAGCTGGCACAAGCCATCGACTATAGTTGTCGAGATCCGAACCTGGTTTGCGGCAAGATCCTAGAGGAAAAAAAGAAAAAGGATGAATTTCATGACAAACTAAAGACTTATCTGAGAATTACTGTGGGAAATAACTTGGTCGGTCTACCCCCATCTACAGCGTGAATCTACTTGCATCTAACTGTATTGTTTTCCCTGGGTAGGCCAACTCCCCCGGAATACCGTACGTGATGGAAATTTGGCCCCCGGGTCATTCATCCCCCATCCATGATCACGGCAAGGCATCCGCGGTGATCAAAGTCCTATATGGTAGCATTGATTGCTCCTGGTATGATGCCGTCCAAGAGGGCCGCCAACCGCAGCAGGTTGGTAAAACGACCAAACTGAGCAAGGGGGATGTCACATGGCTGGGCGACAAGCAGTTCCAGATCCATAAGCTCCAAAATAATTACAAGACGGTGTGCATCACGCTGCAGTGCTACCAGTTTGAGAAATCTGACAAAGAGCACTACGAATACTTTGATTTCCTGGACAATGCCCTACACAAAGATCGGTTTGTTCCAAATAGCGACTGTTCCTACAGCAAGTTAGTAGAAGAGCTCAAGGTTGAATGGAACAGAAAGCAGTGAAACACATGGGCTTGTTGTAAGGATACATATGGCACGCAACATTGCACCATGCTTACCAGATTGACCAGTGAATATTTTATGATTCAGCTCCGGATGCAGTGTTGGTTATATCTACATGATTAACTTTAGCCATGATAGCCTTGTTCTTAGACATTAACTCGAGGATTACTCTGAAGCTACCTGTTCTCCGAATCTCTAATGCACCCTCTAATCCACTTGGACAGTTTTATTCAGTAGTTGTTATACCATTTTTACTTGGTCATGTCCAACGCAAAGGATCCATTCTATTTAATATCTGTCGGTCCACGTGGACTGTTAACAATTTGTGAGCAACAATAATGTAACATTGGTTCAGCCGACTACTCCAAAAACACTGATCTAGTTCTCATCGGTTGGCAATCCTATTTGGAACTACATTTAAGCCATAAGATTAACTCAAAACGGCTCCTTCAGCAATGCTTCATACTTGGTGCTGATAGCGTCGGGATCGCTCCATGCTGCAGCAATCACCGCATCACGTTCTTTACACAGTGCAGGAGAGGTCACTACACGCTTGTCCCCTTGAGCGCGAGCTTCCTTCACCAACGCTGATGTACGAGGCTGGCGTCTTTCTGCGTAAGCCTGGAAGAGGCTCGGGAGATCTGAGTCAAGGCAGTCCAACCTTTCGGCGTAGTCCACACTTCCTGACACTATACACGGCATGTATTGCATAAGATGGTAGCAGTCCTCCCTGAAGTATGGTCAGCTGGATCTCTGCACGAAGTACCCAAGAAAATAAATCTTACAAAGCCTGATTCGCGCCCTGCCCTAGGTGAGGTGTCGTGGGATGAGCTGCATCGCCGACCAGCACACAGCGCGTTAGATGCCACTGCTCGGGGCTTAGTTCCTCACGATCAAAAAGGCCAAACTTGATAATCCGGGTCGCCGTCTTGATTAGGTTCAACACTATCGGCTCGAAACCAATCAACTCTGATGCTAACGTCTCGCGCTGCGCCTCGATCTCCGCCGGGCCGGACAGACGCCACGTCTCTTCGTGCTCCAGCGTTTGGGGAAGCGTGACGGCCCAGGAGGTAAGAGTGGATGATATGGGATACGCGATGATGTGTTTGCCGTCTCCGTACCAGTTACAGAGGCTGCCACGTCGGAAGGTGTCCAGCGACTCTGGCGTAGGCGAGATGCCCGCCACCTGCGCCAGGCCCGTGAAGGTCGGCATACCCATATGCATGCCTTGCGCCTCCAGCATTATACTCCGTGAGGCTGCCTTGATGCCATCGCAGCCGATGAGGAACGAACCGGTTACCGTGCGCCCGCCGTCGAAGATAGCCGTGACAGAATCCTTATGCTCCTGGATCGACTCCAATTTCCACCCCTCGCGTAGTTCGACGTCCATGTCGAGCAATCTCTTTTTCAGCATCAAATTGATCGATGTCCGTTTGATCCCCGCGGCTGGCTGCCCGTATTTGGTTGTGAAGGCCGCGGGAAGCCCCGAGTGACCCAAGGTCTCCCCTGAGGAGACGCCATCCCAAAAGCCTGTCAGGGGCAGCGATTCTTTGACAACTTCGTCTGCGAGACCAACCAAATTAAGAACCTTCAGCCTTCAGAATTGGTCAGCTGTTTATGTTTCGCAGATTTATTTAGGATACTCGCCCGTTGGGCATCAGCATTACTGAAGCCCCCGCATCTCCCAGCGCCTTCACCTTCTCAAAAACAATAACGCGGTACCCCTTGCGCTTGTAAAGAATTCCAAGTACAGGACCAGCAATTCCACACCCGATAATCAAAACTAGAGGGGTCATCATTGTGCCTGGGATGGTACAAAGATCCGATCAGCAAGTCTCCTACCGCCGTGTTTCCCGTAGACTTCTAGCCTACCACAGCCCTAAGGACCTGGAAGGAGGAGAGTTGTAAAATGTTCGAGCACAACTTCCGTTATATATTTACGGGTCTGACCAGGCATGCTCAAAAGAATAAATCATCGATCGTTGAAGACACGGACCCTCTCGACATACGGAGTCTCCGTGGCTACGGGGTTCTCTGTTTGACCGCTCCTTGTCTATGGAGGTCCGGCCCAAACAGCAATAGGCATGCAACGAGGTCGGCCAGTTGCGGTGAACGATAAATCTGAAGCCAGTAGCTTCGGGGAATGACGTAGACATGCCCATCTGACGTGGCTTGGTTGTGTTGGTGCCTAATTTATAATGCCGCGATAATGTTACCTTGCACTCTCAAGCCACTGACGTGGAGAATATTCGATTGCTCACCCAGAACCTAACCCTCTATCTATGACGCAACCAAACTAGAGTCGTAGCGTTGGATGAAATGGCTGTATAAAAAGGGATTTTGGGTTTAACACATTGAAATGATGATACGTACTCTTGGAAAAGTTGTCCCCATTTCAAGGCCTCGAGCATATCTGGGTCCAGCCGCGCATGCAACAAGAGTGCAACAGATTGAACAGGGCTTTGACCACTAGAGGTTGCTACCTTGGATTCAATATTATTGTTTGGCAGCAGGTTCTCTCGAAAGGGAGGCCACTTCTTAACGACTCCGCATATTCCGAAGTAGTCACTGAATAATACACCGCCTCGGCTTCAGAGGATACACAGCGAGATGTAAGGATCGACATCAAAGCTGTCCAGTGCGATGCTGGATTAGGGCATGAGCAGTAATGAAATGCAACCCTTTGATAGGAAACTAGGCCTCCTGACCGATGGCACAGACCATCTGAACCCCTCAGAGGGACGCCCCAATAATGCATGTAAGTCCCTATGTTGCGTATCCGACCAAGAGTGTCCAGGTCTACGGAGTTGAACTGGTGGGTGGTACATAATGGTAGCTACCGAGAGACCAGTCCTGTGGAATTTCATTGGCAAGGTGATATATTGTTTTTCTTGTCCTTGTCACGGCCCGCGGGATGAGTTGATATGTGAGATCTTTGTGATGACACCGGTGGCGGAATGGGCGTAGTTTATTGATCCTTCTGATTACGCCACATGTGCTTCTCACTATAGTTGTTGTTTAGCACCCTTTACCGATGGTTACATTTGCAAGTAACTAGACTCCGGTCTCTACTGATAGGTACCCTCTCTGAGGTCTTGTCATGTTCTAGAATCGTGGATATATATATATTTCTGTGTTTAGTTCCCGCCGCAACCCGGTCAACGCAGCTCCCCATCTAGATAGACCATGGACGACGATATGATGAATATATCATGAGAGACACGGATTGAGTGCACCTGAGCTTTATTGATAAATAGTCCAGCGGTGGGGGCCGATGTTTGATAGGCCAAGCACCCCTACGGTAATAATAAGGAGTTAAGCGCCAATAAATTAATGCGTTACGAAGGGTTTCTATTTGCACACACTACTCCACGCTTTTCAACCACAGTCCGTCCGTCTTAACCCATCATCCTTTAGCTGGTCTTTAAACCCCAGCATACTGTCTCTCATTAATCTCACTTCTCCTCAATCGAAGATGGGCGCTCTTTCTGAAATCTCTTCCACACCGTCCCCTTCATACTCGGTGGGATATCAATTGCGAACACACTGAGCAATAGGGCAACAAAACACAAAATGACACAACTATAATAGGCACTCTGGTAGCCGATGCGGCCGTACGCGTCCTTCGGGAGAGATGGGTCACCGTATCGTCGCTGGATACCCTGTGCAATGGCCGTGATGACAGCCAGACCGAGAACCGAGCCGCCTACCTGGAGTGCCAGGTTGAACATCCCCGCAACAGCGCCCTGGTCGGCTCGAGATGCGGAGGAAACAATGACGAAATTGGCCGTGATATATACCGCACCTATTCCGGCAATATAGAGGATCATCCCGGGAAAGGTGTACCGCCAGTATGACGTATCATGGTCAATGAAGGAAAAGAGGAGCACACCAGGAATGGAGAAGCCCCAGCCCAAGATAAACTGCCCCAATCCTTGTTAGTAAAAAGGCTTCTCGTCTCGATTGCAGAGCAGGATGGCAGGAGGGGTCGGCTTCGGAAACATACCATAAGACGTGCACCGAGAATGGGCACTAATCGACCGGACAGCGTATTGAAGATGAGAGCACTCACTCCCAGAGCTATGAAGAGGACCGAGGTGTGGATCGCACTGTTCCCGTAGGACTGGAGCTGGAGGGTTAGGAAGTAGGTGCAAGCCTGGCGGACGGCATACGTGTTCACGGCCAGCACGAGAGTGAGGTTAAAGGAGGTGGAGCGGAAAAGGTGCGGTGCAACAATACCGTTGCTGGTCCGATACTCGTGGAATACGAATAAGCCTAGTAAGACCACTGAAATGACCAGCGGGGCAACAATGCGTGCACTTCCCCATCCTTCGGTATTTGCAGACGTGAGCGCGTAGGTGAGGAGCAGAATTCCCGCCACACTCAGTGCAATGCCCAGCGGATCGAAGCGGTGGACTATTCTCCGGAAGACTGCGGCCAGGCTGTTGGTATGGGCCTCGCGTTGCCCTGCCTCCAACGCGTCGTCGGGGGACGCTGCGGCATCGGCAGGTGGGCGATCAGGTCGTGGGAGGATGAAAAATGCCGCGGGGATGATGACACCGGACAAGATGAGAGATATCCAAAAGATCCATCGCCAACCAACATATGCCGTCAAGACACCACCCAAGATAAGACCAATACTGGTGTCATGTCAGCAGAGACATCAGGGGTCGGGGTGGTGAGCTCACATGAAGCCAAGGGAACCTGATACTCCCCAGAAGCCCAGGGCCTGGGCTTTCTTTGCTGGCTCGGGGAAGCACACAGCAATATGGGCCTGCGCGGAGGGAATCGTAAAAGCAGCGCCAATGCCTGTGACTTTACGTAAATGCTTGATCGTAACGGCGAGGTTCGGTTCGGAACAGCCTACCCTGCAGGGCCCTGGCCACGACCAAGCCAATGAAGTTGGGGGCGAGCCCACAAACCATGGTGAATAGTGCAAAAAATGACATGCCGAATAGAAGAACACGGTGGTGACTAGCGCGATGGTATGCATTAGCACATGTCAGGTTGGAAAAATTTTCGAAAGTTCCCTTACCCAAACAAGTCCCCCCCTCGGCCTCCTAATAGAAGAAATGCTCCGAACTGACAGGATTTAGCACTCCGGCTACACCCAATGGCTGGTGGGAATACCATACCGTGATCGAATAGGCAGAGATAATCCATTGCAGATCGCCCTCGGTCGTGCCCCACTCCTTCTGTATCGTCGGGAGGGCAATAGTGATGGCACTTAGATTGGCGAGGTCCAGAAACATCGCCGTACATCTGTGGCATTTAGTCAATGACACACTAAATCGCTGATGGAACTCACACGACGGCTAGAGTCAGGTAAGGACTGCGACTTTTCATTCGGTATGGGATAGCGCGCAGTTGCGCCCATGGCAGTGTCCCCATAGTGTGGAAAGAACCGCGGTCGTGGATAGAGGACACAAGGACACAAGAAACTTAGAAGAAAAAAGGGAGTCGCCTCGTATCATGGAAGAAAACAGTTCAGGGAGGCGATTATGTACATCTTGTTCTTTGACTAGAAATTTTTTGCACCATAGCTCTTAATGATTTTCTTTTTTTCCTTTGGTGTTTTTTTTCCCCTGGGAAATTAGCCACTACTAACCGTGACGGATCGCCCGCGGATCCTCCGCGGATCCTCCGGGCTTCGGAGGGTTTTGTCGGATCAACCAAATTGTTACCAGTTTCAGTCGAGCTAAGCTTTTTGTCTGGCGCCCAGTATATCGTCCAGAGTACCCCTTATGAGGCTGTCACGGCTTGACGAGGCTACTTCACGAGCTATTGGTGTGCCGTGTACAGAAACGTTGTTTGTATCACAAGTCGATAACCGAAAGAAGGTAACTCAATCTGATGATTCTACAAGTGAGTGATCTACGTGCTCTGATAAGCACAGGATAGTGGGCACAAGAACCACTCTCTACGCAGCCACTCGGCGAGCATCGAGCGGAAGGCTACATGCGGCGGGCTTGGGCCGCGTAATGCGTGAATAATAACACCACGACTTAAAGTACGTATTGGACCCTGTCAAACTATTTTCATCACGGACCGAAGACTGGCATGTTGCCAAGTATTCGTAGAGTTTTCGCTGCAACGGTACTCCACAGGGACTAAACCACTCCGATTGGCCGAGGACCCGAGACCTATACGTTGGAGGCCTTTGATGGACGACAACACCGGCAATATTTAACATGCATACCCAAAGATCAAGACGGACAAAGGAAGACACTCTACAGCCGCACCCTCTATGTGAAAATGGAGAAATAATCTGAGTTGCCCTCTATGAGAATTTGCTAACTTTCGTTTAAACAAGCATGTGGATGGCGCCGGTGGCGGGCCATCCGTTGAGCTTCGCTCTCCACCTTGCCCATATTAATCATAGTGGATAAATCCTTCAGAGCCAAGAAAAGCACATCAGATTTTAAGTAACCATCACGGCACGTTCTTCTGTGCTTTTGTGGTTCCTTCAGCTGCCAAGAACGTCTTGTTTCAAGCCACCCTTCCTCGTATTGAGTCGCTGGTGTCATCGGCTAAGAGAATAGTATATCTTCTGGACCCCAATCGCTACGGACAGGACAGTATTATGTAGTCCTGTATATTTTTAATTCTTGGAACTAAATTCTATAGTCATCCATAATCTTCTATATGTGCTCATCCCGGGTTTTTGTGCTAAATAATCATGCCTTATCAGACAGCTCCTTGGAAGAATGTTGGATGCAAACGATGACCAGGAATTCGGGATACAATAGAAGTGATTTGTGCACCTTTCTACAGGAATGGACTAGTCTTGCATGCAGCAGGTCTTGATAGCCAAGACGGTCGACCCGCAAACTATACTAGCGCTCTAGCAGAACATTTCGGCACAGCCCTCGTATTTTTAGCGCAATCCTTAATAGTGGCACTGTATGCTCTACTCAGCACAATCATGGAGCTCCTAACGGCTATGTTGGGTATGAACATTTTGCTTCAAATACCAGGGGGCTCTCGCCCATCCTGTGCAGTGGCAAGTATTGAGAGAGGTAAAATAAACGAAAAGCCAAAAGTTACTGTTTAAAAAGGGAGCTTGAATAGTATCGATCGGCGTCTATAGCAACATTCGTCATGGCCCGCCTTTAAACTGCAGGATTCTCACCGGAAAAGTTTGCAGATCCATATTTACCGCGCCAGTAAAGCTCGCTGACAAACGTCAATGGCGCAATGCAAAAATAATCATGGCGAATCGCCACTAGCAGGGTTGCACCGTGCCCAATCTAATGTATATACTTTCCAGATCGTTTGTAATACCTCGCTATTGGATAGCCGTACAACGTGGACCGATAGATCCATACTTGACTAGCCGTTCTAGATGCGCTCCAGACCGAAATTGAACGATATTGCAGTGTGGAACCACCACGGTTATGAACGGATACCAGGACAAAATACAAGAACACATTGCTCTGATCCCTGTTGTGGAGCCGAATACCCTGCAATCTAAGCATGAGAAGCTGAACATCGACGATCAGGCTAGACAGGATCCTGGTAATCCTTCTATGCATGCTGAGCGCCAGTCCTTGGAAGAGCCTTTCTTAGAATGTCATGCTTCACGGGCAAATGGAGAGGGAGACTCTTGTAGCAAAGCCTACGATATAAGTAGCTGGACCATTGCCAGTAGATACATGAACAACAAGTACTGGGGCTTCCTAGACCGCATATCACCGACAATATCGGCTGTGTTCCTCTACCTATTTTGATTCATCATGACTACCCTAACGCCTATGCCATTCCTCACGGGGCCAGCAATGAAAGACGGCCAGGGGCACTTCCTGAGTCAGGAACCAGCTGGCGAATTAACTGCTGTTATCACTTTATCAAAGGTTCAGCAGGCTTTGTGGCTGGACTATCTCCGTCGGCCGCATGCTTCGCATTACCATCTAACGCTCTTTGTCAATTTGCAAGAGCTCAAGCCGACGCTGGACCAGATCTTGCAGGGTATTGACTAAGCCATAAGCCCTCTCCCAGAAACGCGTAAATATCGATGCTGACACAGATAAGTGATTCATACTCTTGGCCAACAACATGAAATGCTCCGAACAACGTTTCATCTTGACCACAAATCAAATGATATCAACCAGTCTTACATGGCTGTGCATAGCCCTGCTACCTCCTTCCAGAAATTCGAGATTGTCCAGGACCCTGATCGTGTATCCTCAGCCCTACGTAAGAGCTTTGATCTGAGTGTGGAATTCCCTGTCAGATGGGTCATCCTACAGAAGATTTCAACCAGCAACGGCCTTCTCCAAACGCACTATGATCTTTATATTGTGGGCCACCATATAGCAGTGGATGGGTCGAGCATGAGCTACCTGTCCCAAAGCATCTTACAGCAACTTCATCCACAATTTGATCAATCTGTGGTTACCCAGACTTCGTCTAATTCCCCGGGTTACGGGCAGTTCGTGCAGAAGCAAGTAAGATAATCCGCGCTCCCACATCCTTGTCGGTAGCTCATATTAGGAACACAGGACGCATTTCTTAGAGGCCCAGCTATGAAAGCTGCGGAGCAATTTTGGATGTCCCAACTGTCACATACTGTGCCGTTTGAGTGGGCCGCCCCGAAAAGGAATGACACTAATGATTATCGAGTTATGAATACCTGGACCTCTTTCACCAATGATGAATTGAAGGCCTGGGGCAGTTTGTATAAAACATCCTGGTTTCGCGTTGCCTTCTCGATAGTCGGACTGATAACATCGGGGATCGCCAAGCCCACCCCACACCATGATCATACTCTCCTCGTAGCGTTGGGTGGGAGGCCGCAAGGCTACGAAGGCTGTGTGTCTCATATGGCAAATACTGTACGACTCCGGAATCCCAGAGGGCCCGTATGTTCTCCAAGAGGCTAACTTTCCCGTTAGATGCCAATTAAAACTCCCGTGTCGTCCCTCCTCCAGCGCCGAGCCACGTTTGCCGATGCCGTCAAAGAGATGGGGCGCTCCATCTCCACTGCCAAGAAGCATGAGATGTTTCCTTTTGTCTCGCTCGTCGATGCGGCGAGGGAGACGATGAGTGACAAGATGCTAGACTTCAAAGTGTCTGTCACTTTCTCCCCAAAGCTTGCAAGCGAGAACTGTACCATATACCCAGTGGAAGGTGTTTGGGATCTCTTCTTTTGTTTCCTTGAAACCCAGAATGGTGTCTCTTTAGGTGTACGTGGGATCAAATATATACAGCATAGATAACTTACAGCAGCTGACGATTACTAGGTCATAAGCAACCCAGCGGTGTTTGACTCCGACGCGATTGAAACCATGAAGAAGCAATTCCTGGATACCGTCAAACTATCACAAGAAAACCCCAGTTTTCTTGTGGGGGAGCTTTCTTATCTTGAAAGCCATACTGTCTCAGATATTATATCCGGACCTAGCGTAGATGCCGTGGATGCAATCACCTCATCCCGGGTGCATAAGTGGATTGAGGCTCGATGTGCTACCCAGCCAGATGCCATTGCGCTGTCTTGTGCAGAACGTGGTCAGCAAATGACATATGCTGAGCTTGATAGGAGAACGAACCAGATCGCTCATTATCTCTGTGGTAATGGGATCACTGCGGGTGAAACCGTTGCGTTGCACATCAACCGTGGATTTGCACTTCTATTATGGATCATCGGTATTCTTAAGGCGGGAGGCTGTTTTGTGGTGCTCGACAAAGCATTGCCCACGGGTCGCAAGCAGTCAATTCTCCGTACTTGTGAACCCGTCAAACTCGTCACTGATACTGCAGCAGCGGATGACCTTCTCTCGCAAGTTGACAAGGTACCTTCCGTTATTGTATTGGATGCTGGATTCGACGGCGAGCTCACGAGCTATCCAGTGGCCCATTGTACTGGGCAGGCTACAGCAGATAACGACTTAGCGTACAGTGAGTACATTGTGCCGACCTGGTATTACTAGTTAACTAACTTCCGGCTTTCAGTGGTATTCACCTCCGGTTCAACCGGACAACCTAAGGGCATCATGGTGGAGCACGCGAATGTAGCCCACTATGTAAGTGCAGCTCGCAGTGTTGTACATATTGGCCCTGGGAGTAAGGTCCTCCAGTTCGCATCATTCGCCTTTGACGCATCTATCCTCGAGTGGGCCGTCACTCTATCCTATGGAGCTACTCTTTGCTTCGTCGAGCACCCCACTCTGCTGGTTGGTGATTATTTAGCCGACGTCTTAGAGATGAACCGTATCAACTTCTTCCATACCACTCCCTCGGTGCTCGCAACTATTCCGATAGACAGGCCCCTCGCCAATCTGAGGCTAATCTCTGTTGGTGGGGAGGCCTCCTCTACCGGATTGTTAAGAGCATGGCGGCAGAAAGTGACTCTCCTACATGCATATGGACCAACCGAAACCACGTAAGTGAATCCCCTATATCTCGGCTATGTTTAAATCGAAGCAACTTCTTATTGTACCACTACAGGGTGATCGTTACTTCGGAACCAATCGCCGAGGATCCTGGCAATTCTGAGAATCCTTCTCCTTCTGTGATCGGCAAGCCTTTCCCAAATTGTGAGGTCGTGATCTGTAACGAAGGTTCAGATGTGCCTTTGTCGGTTGGGGAAACCGGCGAGATTTGCATCTTTGGGCCCCAAGTCTCCCGAGGATACAAAGGTCAGGATGAACTCACCGCCACCAAATTCCGCACGATTGAGCTACATGGTCGGAAAGGGCGTCTCTACCGCAGCGGAGATCGAGGTTCACTGACCGCTGATGGCAAAGTCTTGATCGGTGGCCGTATGAACAACCGAGAGATCAAACTCCGCGGCTACCGCATGGACCTGTACGAAATCGAAAAGAGCATCCTGGACCACAGTCCGGAAGTCATGCTAGTCTCTGTACAAGTTGTCGATGGCTCACTGATTGCCTTTGTAACTCCGGAGAGCGTCAATTGCGAAGATGTCCGTCGGAGACTGATGGACGATGTCCCTGCTTACTCTGTTCCCACTAACATTCACGCCGTTTCAGAGCTTCCGCTCAACGCGAATGGGAAGGTTGATCATGCGGCAGTTGCTGAAAAAGTTCGAATTCCTACGGCCGCGGCATCCAAGGCTAGCTCTACGGATATAACACGGAAGACACCGACCATCAAAGCGGGGGAGAAGAAGCTCGATGCAGATCGAGCCAGAGCTTCATTGACTTCCATGGTATCCCTGATATGGGTCGATGTTCTCGGCCTCTCCAAACCTCCCATGGAAGATGTCAATTTCTTCGATGCAGGTGGCCACAGCATCCTCCTCGTTGAACTGCATAAGCGGATTAGTGAGCGGTTCCCCACCGCTGGTATCCGGCTTTTAGACTGCTTTCAGCAGACAACTATTGAGAAGCAAGCTACCTTTCTCGCAGGACTTGTCGACTTCGAATCCAGTCCTCCTTCAACATCTTCCGCAGACATTGGACCAAGTCCAAGTGCATCCGGTACTCTGACTCCCAGATCTTCCATCAGCTCCTTCGATCAACCGGAAGAGAAGTTTGCGATTGTTGGTTTGTCTGGTCGCTTCCCTGGCGCCGACGATGTGGGGAAATACTGGGATCTCTTGATGAATCGCCGTGATGGAATCACCACCGCATCGAGTGCAGCAGGACACGGTCACTTCGATATCGATGCAGATGAAGTATTCGTTCCGCGCTATGGGACTATAAACGGCCTGGATGACTTCAACCCCGCTGCCTGGAGTCTCTCTGAGGAAGAGGCCAAAACTTTGGACCCACAGGTATGCTATATTACATCGAATGTTTTACTAAAACATACTAACCTCTGTATAGAAGCGCATATTTCTCACAGTAGCCTCTGAAGCACTAAGTGATGCCTGCATAGATCTGTTCAAGAAAGAGGAGAATAAGGTTGGAGTGTTCATTGGAGCCGCTGCTAATTCCTACATCCATGACCCGAACACTCCAGCTCCTAGCAATGCGTTCCAGAGACGGTATCGAACCCTCCTTGACGAGAATATATCCACCTTCACCTCGTACAAGCTCAATTTGACGGGACCCAATGTGACGCTGAATACTGCTTGCGCTAGCTCTCTTGTAGCGTTGCATGTTGGCTTGAATGCGCTCCGTAGTGGTGAGTGCGAGGCCGTCCTGATTGGCGGAACATCAGTTGTCTACCCCCAGGAAGGAGGTTACATTACGTCGCCTGGGCAAGTCTTCTCCGCCAGTGGTGAATGCCGTCCCTTCGACAGCCGTAGCGACGGTTCAGTTCCAGCTGATGCCGTCGCCGCTGTGGTTGTGAAGCCCCTGCAAGCTGCCGTTCGAGACGGAAACACAATTTACTCCATCGTGGAGGGACACGCCATCGGCACTGACGGCGCCATTGATAAGGCCGGCTTCACCGTTCCCTCTAGCACTGGCCAGGCACGCACCATTACTCATGCCATCCAGTCCAGCGGCATCTCACCGGATACAATCAAGTATGTTGAGATGCACGGATCTGGTACGAGCATGGGGGACGCACTCGAGCTGGATGGACTCCGAAAGGCATTTGACACCGTCAGTGCAGCATCTGACTCCTGCATCTATGTGGGCTCAAACAAGGGCAACTGCGGCAACTCAGAGACTGCATCTGGATTAATGAGCGTCATCAAGGCATCCCTGTCATTGACCCGTGGGGTTGTTCCTCCGCTCCGGGAACTCGGAGAGACAAATCCCTCGTGCGACTTCACTGGAAGATTTCGTCCATTGACAAGCGCCCTAAAGCTAGGTACTGCCGATCGAATTGGAGTAACATCCCTGGGTTATGGAGGTACGAATGCGCATGTTATCCTGGCCTCCCCTGCGCAGAACGGTGTGAACCTTATTCAAGAATGAGTTATTCTTCCACCACGTCGGAGAACGGAAGATCGTCCAGCTTTAGATATAGCCATCATCAGTTGGAGGAGACTTATGACGGTGTTGGGTGATTTATCGTGTGGATTGCGGCTGTAGATGTGCTCACTAAACGGTTGGCCCGACGCCCGCGGAATGCTGAAGTTGAGAAGCAGTACAGACTACTGAAGGAAATGTCTGGCTCACATCGGGAGGCGGTAGTAGTTAAAGACCATCAATGGTAAATTCAATAATATCAAGCTTAACCAAAGCCGTGCGTAATGGGATAGTCATAGTATGAATGTAAGAATGATGCTAGGGTTTTTCATCTACTGGGATCAAAATATATTTTCGAGGGATTAAGCTAGGCGAAATCATCCATTTATCTACCCACTGTAATATCGCTTCTCTTTGTTTCAGCTCACAGAGATTATATAAGATATCACCTCCAATGGACCTCCGATGCTTAAGGACCTGTCTGGTATTGACGAAGGCATGGATTGGTTGGTAATCAGATGACCTTCCTTCCTGTGATAGCAGCTATACATCGTCGTCCTCCCAGAAGGAATATTGTCTTAGCTGTGTCCCCCAGCCTCCCTTTGCCATTTCCATAACTTGGATTGTCGACGGGGCTAGAAAGGTGCACAGTGTTCTCCAGCCCTAGCGTTTGAAGGAACCTCTAATGGATCTCATGGAAGGCAAGGTTGTGTGCTGCGGGCGGTTCTGATGAACAGCTGGCAAGCCACTAGTTAAGTGTTGTGGGTATACTCAGTACCTCGTCAAACCACTGGTCATCTCCCAAATCCATCGATTGCATCCAGGCTATCTGATCCAGATCGGGGATATGTGGATTTTGCCTAGTTACAGCAGGGTTGCTCTCACTAAGGACATACGCTTCCTGCATCGGACAGGCTATATCCCACCGTGCTTCCGCCCACAGCCTGCATCGTATTAACAGCTTGGATAAATAATGGAGTAAATGATCGTTGCACTGAAGCTCTGGCTGGTGGCTGCCCTGCTCCAGCTTCTGCAGCATTGAGTCAATCGTCGAGATGAGCGGGACTGCGTTCCGCACCGCTTGGCAATCCCATTCGGGGTCTCGGAGGGTAGAAAGATATTTCAGCAGCGTGAGGCTCGTGATCATCTGGGACCAAAAGTGAACGGGCTGGCCGATGAGTTTGGAGTCGTGGATGGCGTCGAAGCTGTCCAGCCATAATTTGATGTTTTCAACTGACTGCCATAAGCATTCAAATCGTTCAAATCCCAATCGTCCGTTGATATTTAGAGGTCGTGGTTCGTGAGTCATGGAATAAGCTAGTTGGTTTATGTATAGTTCGACATACTGAGCGTGAGCATGGAGAATGTCTGTACCATCATCATAGACATATCAGTATATCTGCAAAGAAGACACTCTACCAGGGTATTTGCTAGATAGGACACTTACCTATTTTGGAACAATCAGTCTGGAATGAAGACCTGAGCTCTTGCAGCTGCCTGCGTAGCATCTTGAAGTACAATAAATGCGGAAGTGAGGCCATGGCAGGATCTGTACCTGTGCGAGTGCATCCTACCTCCTCCGCTTGCCGAGTGTTCTGCGCCTTTTGCTTAAATAGCTGCAGGCGCACTTGTGAGACAAATACCTTGTCCGCAGGGCAAGGTTCATTGAGTGTTAGAATGTGGAGTGCCTCTTCCATTTGGGGCGTCCAATTTAAGGCATCCTGACGGCCAAGGTGAGACGAAAGACTAGGACGGATCACGTCACATGTTAGGCATTGGCCTTAAAGATGTAGTGTCGGAAATTAATGAAGATGAAGTAGGGAGGATACATACTTGGAACTCAATACAAAACATGCCAATAATGCCCGGCGTCCTTCAAGTAAGCTACACCGCGTTTCAGCATTGGGGCTGTGCCTCGTTTCCTCAGCTTGACCCTGGGAAATAGCCATCATGACTTGAACGTCCGGTGGGGACGGTTTGAACAACCGCAGATCATATACTAGTGATATCGCGAGCATCATGAGGCGAGAAACTAGATCCGCTCTGCCGAGGAAAATATCGGTACTCCAAGCAATATACGTCAGTAATCCTAGAAGCATATCGATGCTAGACTCAACCCTGAGCAATGCAGATGTGAATAGGAGGTGCTTCAGCCCCTCCACTTGAGCTAATCGCTCCTGGGTCGAGAAGGTCGTGACGGTGTGAATAGCTCGTAACAAGAAAGGCCTGTTGTGGCGCAGATACTGTGTCGTCATCTCCGGAGTGAGGTCGATGAATGGAAAATATGGCAGCATTTGGTTTCGGAAATATGCCAACCGCCCATCTTCTTGATTCGGCAGTGAAGCAGTCGGAGATGTTGCATAAGAAGAGGAGTGAGGCGATGGATTTGGGTGCGTTGATACAGTGGCATTCGACAGGGCCAGTCTCGTACTGGAATCAGAATTCGTAATGTTCACGAAAGCACCATTTGACGTAGATCTGGGCTGAGTGGTATCGGCCAGGGCCCCAAATGAGCTAGTGGAACTGATGAAGGTCTGCATTGCAGCCAGTAAACTCTCCATCTTTTCTTCTAGTCGAGCGATCCGCGTATCGGACCCTTCAGCCGTGGGACCATGACGCCTGCGAACTGAATCTGATGGTTGGCACTTTTTCTTTAGACGGAGACACCTGGAAAAATGAATTAGCTGAATGTTATGATAGTCACAGGTCTAGCCAGGTCAACCTTTCACAGTCACTGCCACTCCGAGGACGCACACATCGGCACTTTGCCCTGTAGCAATTTTTGCAAGCACGGCCATAGGTGCTTGGACTTCCAGTTGTTGGGTTAGTTGTTTCCATATTACGGATTAGAAATTACAAGCTATACCAGAAGTCTCCGGAAATAGCCCAAGTTTGAGGACAATTTAGAGAATACTTTTCTCTGCTGACTTTACGGAGGGGAACACGGCCGGACTGGCTTCCGTCCCATGCTGACGACGGACTTCGGCCTCCGAAATCCGTTTTATTTGTTGATTAGCGTGGTGAGTCTCACATAGTCTTTGATACATGCAAAGTTCCGTGTCCTGACTCCTGCCAATAAAAACAACAAGAAAATCCTCAAAATCATGTAAGATCTCCTCGACTTCAAACTTTATCCAAAGCCGACTCCCGGTTAATCACCCAAGTGAAAAATCGGTAGGGAAGAAAGATGTTGCATAGCCAACTCAGAGTCGAAGCCTGGCCCCGTCGAATGAAGATACCACGACTATTAAGTACATCATCCACAACGTTCTTTGCTGCGATCTCGATATTCTGTTTGTTTGGATGCACCATCGTCTTCTTATGTCGATCGATGACCGCTATGATCTTCCGGTAGGGCGAGTCGGGGGGCAGCTCCAGGTCTGTGATATTGTTCGGGTCGTTTCCACTGGTCTGGACACCGCCGAGGATGACAGTAACCACACGGACGCCTAGAGGTGCCATCTCCAGGCGCAATGTCTCGGAAATCCGCGTACCAGCACTTCTAGAGCTGCTATATATACCTATTCATCCGAGTCAGACTCGGAGTACTGCCCTTACAAGGAAGTGAGCTAGGAGAACGTACCTGCCCATGCAAAAACCATTTCGCCAGACACAGAGCTGATATTGCACACGACCCCCTTGGCCTGAATAAGCATAGGGGCAAAAGCCTGCACCATGGCAACAATACTCCACACATTTGTATCGTAGACCTTCTTCGCCTCGTCGAGGGAGGCGTCAAGAAGCGGCACTATGGCGTTCACACCGGCGTTGTTGACAAGGACATCAAGCCGCCCGCCCGTATGTTTCGCAACAGTCTGTGCACATTGATGAATCGACTCGACCGATGTCACATCAAGTTCGATGATCTGAACACCGTCATAATCGGCCAGAGATCCGGCTTTGGCCATGTTGCGCAGTGTCGCGAGGACCTGGAACCCTCTGGCGTGGTAGACTTTAACCATGGCCTCCCCAAATCCTCCATGGCTGCAGCCGGTAATCAAAACTGTTTTAGGCATTTTGGCGCCTGCCACTTAGTATGAGATGTTTACAATGAATCGAGCCGGTAGCATCACTCGGGACTTAGGCAACGCTTCATTTATACATGGCGAATACCGGATTTCGGCTACCAAATCCGTAGGTATTTATAGGGCCGAATCACCGAATCGGAGGTAGATAGGCTCCCACCGGAGAGTCATCCGTATATGAGTCTCCTACAAAGGTTGTCGGCTCCGTGGCCAGGTGTTTGACCCATGTGGCACCTGACGAGTCTTGAATGGGGATTTTGACCCTTCGCCTTTAGTGATTAAGATGGGGAATCTCAGCGAGAAGATCCGCGGCCGAAGGGCAGGTGCATACTCGGTTGCTTGCGTTTCTCACTCAAGCAGGCCGGCACATCCCTGCTCAATGGAGTTTACTCTATTCTGCCTTTCTTTTCTTATACATATTTGCGACAACCCTATCTGTAGACACTCAATGGGGCCCTATAACCTCGTCAAGCTTTTCGCCATCTTGAAAGGCAATTGTGGTTGATATTACCCTTATACCAGCCTCCTGAGTAATATCCCGTTACATATAGAACCACTTGTTATTCCCAATCCTGACTTTTATAAATATAGAATTTCGTTTGCCAGTCGATGTTTGGTGTTTTCGTTTTCCCGACACAACCTCCGGTCAAAATCATTGTTGGTTTTTGGCGAATCCATTGACCCTTTTCTACAGTATGTTCGACGATTACTCAAGTCCATTGTAGCTTTCCGCAGTGGTTATAAGGGGGTTAGTGCCTACTCCACAGTGTTCGGACGGCCGTTCTGCTTGGCAATTTAGGGACAAGGAGCTTCCACAACAAGTTCCCTGTTGATGGAGATTTTCTCCGTTGCCTGTTAAATGAAACCACCTAATTGGGTTAAGGGGCCGGTCGACGGAGATTTAAGTCGCCTGTCAGCGGAGACTTTCTCGCTTCCGTGGAGGGAGCTGAATAATCCAGAATTGGGTAATCAATGCCCTAGGTACTTGGTGGCACATAGTCCCTGACATCAAGAGACGAAATATATATAATGACGGACTTTTGCTACTCTACCACTCTGAGATTCCGAATCCTGTGTAAAAAATGGTAAATTCAACAAGATACTACCATTGATTTCTCCCCACGTCATATCTCCTCTTCGGAATTGAACCCATGTTGAAACTTCGTTTACTCTCTTTGAAGTATTCGTGCACGTGCCTAGAACACTAGAAGAAGAGAATGTCCACCTCCACCGCTTTTCATGTTATAACCGTCGTTGGTGCGACAGGAAATCAAGGAGCTGGCGTTATCCAGGCGCTGCTCGGCTCTAGGAACCCAGATGGAGGTCTCTGGCATGTCCGAGGTGTAACGCGTGATCCCAACTCACCAAAAGCGAAGTCGTTTCTATCCGCCCACCAGACAAGCGACAAACGCCTCTCTCTCGTTTCAGGCGACGCGTACGACAAAAATTCCTTGCATGTCGCCTTTGCAGGTGCATATGGCGTGTTTGCCATGACTTCCGAGACCCATACGGGAAGAATACTGGAGAAGGATGAAGAAATGAAGCATGAGATCGACGCCGGTCAGAATATGGTCCTGGCTGCCGAAGAGTGTGGTGTCAAGCATTTCGTCTTCAGTAGTCTGCCGGACATGGTCAGCGCGACGGGGGGTCGATTTGTGAATATCCATCACATGAACAATAAGTATGAGATTGAGAAATTCGCCAGAGAAAGACTTAGCGGCGGGGTGACTTGCCTTATTCCAGGTTTGTGCCACAGCTCTGCGGCGTAATCCAGTACTGACAGCGGGCTTTTTTGTGCAGGATTCTTTTATACTAATTTGCGTTGGCCTCAATATTCGATTCGCCGATGTGAGTTCGGCTTCAGACATCCAGACCTTAACCCATCCAAGGTACAGGCTAATATGACGATTTGGTAGCAAACGGCGTCGTTGAGTTTCGTATTCCCATCCCCGGTGGCCAAGTTGCACAGTGGACAGATCCAATCCACGACATGGGAAATTTCGCAGCGAGTAAGTTCATGTTATTCCCCCTAAAACGGGTAAAACGAAGAATCCATAGACGTTTCTCAAAAGGATAACTTAACATGTCGACTTTTTACAAAAAGGAGTATTCGAGCTCGGCGTCCCAAAAACCCACGGAAAGAGCTACTTGGTGCTAAGCTCTCGCACCACACCCGATGAGATGGTAAAGACATTCACAAGAGTCACCGGCCAGCCTGCGATCCACGATCCCATATCTGCGGAGGAGTTCGCCGAGATGACGGCTCCGCGCGTCGGTCCGGCCTTTACGGAAGATGCCAAGGAGATGATGGAATGGGCTGCTGTGGCGCCCGCGGATAGGATCTGTTACGGGGCTTTCGCTGAAGATCAGGATCGCTCGTTTGAGGAACTTGGTCTGAAGGCTTCTACTTTTGAGGAGTGGCTTCGCCGCAGTGGATGGATGGGTTGAAATAGTAGTAGAGTAATTGGGCTACCTAGTGTGTTATCAACTCTACTACTGCTTAGCTTTCTGCCTACGTACCCTTACCTAGTTTGACAGGTCTTCTACCCTAAATAGTAGATATTCCCTCGGCAGGGGTCCTACTCCAAATCGAATGCACTGCATTCCTCCACCCCTTCTAGGTTAGGGTCATTTGTTTGTTTTGGCCGCCGGCTACCAGAAATATCGTAGGAAGGAGTCTGGCCACGGCTAATTGATTATTAGTGTTGCGGGCAAAAGCCTAAGCGTCAGGGCTGCATGTATGTTGCAGTTCTGTGAATCCTGATGGGTCCAGATTTTCAAGTTGTAAGACAGGCGCCCCGCTTGGGCGTAGGCGGATGGCCGGCCGGTTCGGCCAGTCCCGGAGAGTCTGTCAGGCTTTCTTAGGGATCCAGAGTGGGATCCGGCTCGCCAGGTATATGCTCCACCAATACCCACCATTAAGCCAAGGCGTATATTCGGAAATGATCGAATCAGGTTTGTAACGGCCTGAGTGGCCGAATTCGTACCATAGCCGCTAGTTGAGGTGATAACCACGTTATGTTGTTCAAATCTCCCCAGGAGATAGAGATTCCCATCGTGCAAGGCTGGCTCCAAAGGCTCACCTTCTTGGTCGGGCAGCGCTCGGGCAGCATGGAGCTCACAGTCGAGGGCGCATCCCCAACCAACAGTATAGGCAATCATGGTCCAGTTCCCTCATGGCCATGGCTCCCTGAACTGAAGTGAAATGAACGGTAGGGCTAGGAGATTGTGTCACGATACCGCGGGAGAGCTCAGATAGAATTTCCGCATGCTATTTAAGCACCCGGGCGAGGCTCTTATCCCTGAATGGTTGGGTCTGTCGCTATTTCTACTAGTGCGTGCCGCCTGCATGATGATTTTGGTGCACGTCGGGCGTCAAGCCTGCGGCATCGACTTATCCCCTCGTCGGCTGACCGTGGGTCATTGTAGCGCGATATTTCGCGCACTTCCCCCCGACCGGTCTGATTGGGCTGTGATCAAGTCACGGTTCCGATCAAGAATATTGCTTATTTGGGGGATTTTATATGAGGCAGGGTCTACTAGCTGACCACCTTCCAACATATAAATGTAAGATCGAGGCTGATTACATACGTCGTGCCGCAAGGCTTTTTCCGTTGCTCCGACCGCCGCTCGAATCAGCCAGTGACCCCCCCCGGTTTCTCTTTTTCTTAATCTACCTATCGAGCTTGATCAGTCAATAATCCTGACTAACTATCTATTCTTATTGTTTACTCTTAATACAAGTGTATATTAAGGAGCTTGGGAATATTGGGTTTATTTCTTAAATAATCAGTGAAGCACTTATTCGAAAAATAGTAATTCTGACAGAGCTTATGCTGTCAACAACCGCTCAATTTAGTAATAGTCAGTATCTTTTTATACGTGACAGTACTCGAATAGCTTAAATATATTACTTATCTCAAAAGTCTACTATTACCAGAAATACTGATACCAAATTACTGTCTTGTAATAGAGCTCGAGTCTCTGGAAAATTATAATAAATTGTTCGGGCCAGCTAGATTCTCTATCCGAGTCAAGATAATTCCAAAGCCAAACAAGACAGGGTCTTCAGATAACAAGAAACCCAACAGGAAATTTCGCCAACCGCGGCCAATCTTGATCCTCATTTCGGATTTGTTTATATAGGAAGCCTTAATTATGCTGCTTACCACGGGTTTACTGGTCGCCATAATTGCAATCCTAAACTATTTTAACCGCCAGCCCCAACCTCCCTGGTCCCATATCTCCTTGAACTCGGCGATTTCCTGGCTCAGTACCATTTCTAAGGGTTATGTATTGTATACCGTAAAAGAAGGACAGAGCCAGTTAAAGTAGGCGTGGTTCGCTCAGAGGAACCGGCCATAGATAACCTTCGGACTTTCGATTCCGCAAGTCACGGTTTATAGAGTAGTTTTTAGTTAATCTGGAGTTTGAGGGCCAGATAAGTAACATTCCTTCGTTCTACTAAAGGGTACCGCAGCTAGCAGCTCATACACTTTGCGGTCTCTGGCAGTTTAGCAGTTATTATGGCACTCGCATTGGATCCATTTACCCAGAACCTAGTCTATTATTACTCTGACCTAGTCATCGATCTCTCCCAAACAGCCATACTGTCACACAACTCAGTGTACGATGCCGTAGGCTTGCCTTGGCACACAGGTGCAAGTATATCAAGTATTATCGCTTATTGTTTGTGCTCGCTAACCGGAACCATAGAGCCTTACATAGACTTGCCAGTTTGGGCCAATATTTAAAACTCTCTATTAAATTCCGACCCGTCAACGCCATAGGCCACTCCCCAGACCCAATTGCTACACTGGAACTCAGCGCCCACTGTGCAAACATAACAGATTATGTGATACCATTTTGCCATACAATCAAGAGTACAGAGGTATGGGATAGGATAAGAAACTGCACCCTTACCCTTTTGTCAGAAGATTCTGTTACAGTGGAATTCATCCAGAACACATCCCAAGCACGCCAATCTCTGTGGGATCTGGCCAGGGCATGGTATACGAAAACTCGGTCTTTCCTGCTATCCAAATAATCGCCCCAGACAATATCTTAAGGGCAGGACCATTTGCTCTATAGAACAAATGGCAAGCCATAGAATATACTCTATTCCCAGCTAATCGCAGCTGTCGGACAAAAGTCTCTAGCGGCCGTTGCCATGAGGAAACCCTGGCTATTTGGTCAAACCTTTCTCTGACTGAGCTCAGACAAAATACACATCCCCCCTGGGGACCTGAGCTGGGCGTTCAGCCTAACACAAATTTCACAATTTTCTCACGGTCAGTGGGGACAATCTATGACTTTGTGAATAACCTCTTCAACAGCCGTATATATATGGATTGGTGATTTGGTGTGCAATTCGTCCCCAGACCCCACACTGTTTACGCTGGTACCGATTTAATACAGGTTCTCGCCTATTCGAATATCACTAGCTACACAGCCAGCTCTGTTGAGAAACTTCACTGCGCCATAAATAATATCGCGGCAGCAATAACCAAAACTTTTCGTGATACGAAGCCGACTTCGCTGGCTTATCCAGCAACTACAGGTCAGGCCCTGACAAGTACTGTATATATCGACATACACTGGCAGTGGATTGTGATCCCAGTTATGGTGTGGCTTCTTGGAATCATCACTTTACTTGGTACAGTGTGGAAAGGTCGAAGAACTAGTTTTTCTAGGTGGAAGACTGATATAATACCTTTATTATTCCTATACCAAGGTAGTCAAGATGAAGGTGTCCTAATTTATGGCAAGCTAGATGGCAAACCTGATGTGAGGCTACACCATATTGACGACAAGTTTGTACTCGGTGGGTAATCCAACGCGTCTATGTTTCGTGGGTAGTCCAGGGATTGTTGTGTTTGATCGTTCTGCCTAATAATCTTGAGATTAGTTCAGGAGCCATACCCTGCACACTGCATTAGTCTTTAGATCGTATCAAGGCTCTAAATCAAATAAGCCAGGCACTGCTGCCGTTATATAATGCAAGGCTCACTGGCCCTGGCCTTCAAGGATTCAATCCTCACGTTTAAGCCTTACCATCGGCAGCCAGCAGCTCGTTAACAAGCTCGATATACTTCTTCTCGGCCTCCTCCTGGGAGAGGCCGCAGTTCTTGTCCCACGCATCCCACTTGTACTTCATTTACAATGCTGGGTTTGGTTAGTCGGTATAACCACTGATCTAGGGGTGGGCGAAAACGAACAGTGAACTGCATAGCGCCAGGGCAAGAGGTGTTGCAGCCTCAGAGCAGGTTCGCGGCGGGTTGAGCGGGGAACGCCATCCACTCTAATTGAGATTATGGAGCGGGTGGTGACCGATGTTATAGCTTTCTTGGCACTGTAGCCCCTGAAAATTTCAAGCCATGATCTTGATAATTGCAATTCTCGCCTTTCATAATTCTTGGTGAATCCATTCCATTTCTTTCTGCAAAATAAAAAAAAAAATGTCTACTCTCTTGCATCTTCCTCATGAGATTCTTCTGTGGATATACCGAAGCCTCGACAATATGTATGACGCCGTGCACCTTGCCCAATCATGCAAATTATTATCCTGCATCTTCGACCGTCCACAGAACCGGTTGAAAATCTTTCTTTCAGTCATAGTAACTCTTCCTCAAAGAAACCAGTGTACAAGAAAATAATGGCTGACCCGTCCAGAATAATATGCCCCGGACCCCAAGCCCAGACAAAGCCTGGCTTGAAGATCGCTTTGGCGCTGGTTCTCTATGGCAACCTGAGGAATCCGACATCCCATCGGCCCTCACGGATTCAGGGACAAGAACGTTTCTGACTACTGTGGGATTTCCTGCCGTCAAGCTCCGATGCGCTTATTTTGACTCTACGCATTTAACGAAAGACGCGGGATTCCTAGAACCCTACGACGCTGACGAGCTGTATGGCGAGCGCTACCCTGATGATGACTCCCCTCCTACGAACCTCTGCTTCCATTTCGGAAGTGTTGGTGAATGGATGATGATGGTAAGTGGCGAGGATGGGGACGTGTCTCACTATGATCCTGCCGGTTGGGACCATGCAGATGGGTATCAGGGGATGATCGCAGGTTCCCTGGAGAGTTTTGCAGTGCTATTGGGGATGCTGGCAGAGGTTGCGGAGAGGCCGTATATGGTGAGTGATGGGTTGAGGGAGGATGAAGAAAGAGAGGAGGCGCGCAAGGCTATTCTAGATAGACTGAGAGAGAGGATGGTGGAGTATGATAGTTCCGTTGAGAAGGGGTCGAAGTTTTGGGATGACGTATTTGAGGGTTTGGAGTAGTTGGATATCAGTGATACATAATAGTTCTGTTTTTGCCAGCCGTTCAGACATACATCTTACTCCGGATGGAGGATATCAGGATAGACTAACCGGCCAGCCCGGTAAAGATACAGAAAGCCTGCTGGTCTAGGGCTAGTACGAATCCCCGGGCGTTACAGGCAGGTCCCAGATTTTGGACCCGAACGCGACCCGCGTGCAACTCTAATCTAGGGCTTAGTGCACCATACACTAAGGTGTAAGCAAATAGTTTCTAATACCTACTCGACGCACTGTTTGTATCCCTCGTCTGTTGAGCGGTGGTGGAAAAGAGCCTTGTTCCCTTGGCTTTCTTTTGATGATGTGGCGATGACACAAGGATTGACCGGATGGGGTGTGATGCACTCTTCTGGATTGTTTTTGTTATCGCCGCGCAATTTCAAGTTAGGTTTAGCAGTAAGTGTTAAGAAACACCGTTTCAAATAAGGTTTAATTGAACCTTCTTTTGAACCTTTCCGCATGCTTCGGTCGTTGGAAACACGTACCAATAGCGTCTACCCAGGGGGCTACTGTTATAACTCTTCTACAAGCGTAGTAGGCTCCAATTAGCGACAGTCATAACTACTGGTAGTCAACTTGGATACGACACATTAGCTATGTTCTTTGATGTCTTCTATCATAAACTCGAGAATGTATCAGGAGGCCTTAATTCCAACCGTGTTGTTAGTGTCAGGGCAAAGAAGTCATCTTTTTCAAGAAAGAACTGGTTCTTCAGCTATATATTTCTTGGACCATGGGTATCGGAACAGGTCATGGTTGAGGACGAATGGGCTTCGCTCCCTCAACCCAGTCAAACGTGCCCAGCATCTTGGTCCACCAAACATCATCAGGGGTATACCCGCCCTTCGGCGTACCCTGAGCAAACATCGAACCACTGAGAAAGGTATGCGGAAATCCAGGATCAAATTCAAATGCACTCTCGATTGCGTTCACCTCTTCATCCGTCGGCGAAATATGCACGGCGGGCTCTACGCCCATGAGATGTTCGACCTTGCGGACACCAACAATGGGAAACACATATGGGGCTTTCTGTGCCACATACGCCAGCGCCATCGCCATGAACCAAATCATTCTCCTTCGCTTGACCAATCTTAGTGTAGACCTCGTAAGACTTGCTATTATAGAGCGGTTGGTAGATCTGGAACGAGTCCCACCCGTGATTGACGTAGACCTGTTTCTCAATGTCGACATTGTCATTGGCATTCATAGCAAAACCGGCCACCTGGGTGATGGCATCGACGTGAGCTGGGTGAGCTGCAAAGCTGCCTTCCGACGATCCCAACGAGAAGTCTACTACACTTGCTGCCTCGTTCTCTGCTTCGTTCAGCAGCACATGATCCAAGAGCATGTAGTCGGCATTAAACCGAGCCATGCTGCTCATGAGCTTGTACCCGGTCTTCCGATTGTATCACATGAACTGCCCCTTGTCATGGCCATCACGTAACTGGCGGATGTGGGCCTTGTACTCAGGCACAGACCGGCGCAGAGATTTCAATTGTGCATCGGTTGTGAATCGGACAGTACAGCTGGCATGCTCCGTATCGAGTTTCCCATCGGCCTAGATAAATTAATATTACATTACCATCTCATAAAAAGCCAGGGGGCAACGTACAAAATAGGTGGCGAATTTGACTTTGGCGCTTCGCGTAGTAGCAGCAGCCTTGGGCGGCCACTCCATGGTAGGCGTGGTGCGCAGCAATTGAGGTCCCTTTCCATGGGGAACCAACGCTTTGTCTACCACCATGTCGGACACGTCCACGAGGCCATCTATGGCACCGGCCCCTGGATGTCCCGCGCGGAGCCGTTGCATACTGTATTGGCCCACTTGCATGGCGATGTCAGCATAAAAGGAAGGGGTACACAGGGGGATCCCATCGACAAGGTGCCCTTGAGAGAGGCTGTTGACATCCTTCCGAGACATGTCAGTCTCCACAACTAAGGCGGCCCCCAAAGGTTTGGTCGTCTCTTCCACCACTCGATGGAGTGTTGTGGTTGTCTTGATTTCGGGGAAGGCCTCCTTGCTAGGGTCCAGCTTGGATGGACGGTGAGGCTTCGACTCCGGAGGCACTTGGTAGTCGGCCGTTTTGATTTCGTGGCCAGGAGTGGCGCACTTGCAATCCTGCTGGTGGCGATGCAGGCACCAGTCACCCTGGTACGGGATGTAGTAATCCTTCAAATCCCAGCCGTAGCTCGGCAGATCCACCACCTTCTGGGAGCAGGCGAACGGGGCATGGTATTTCTTCCAATTAATATCCCACCCACCCGTATAGACCGAAGTGAGAATCTTCTGCAGGTTGGGCCAAATGGCCTTGTTGGGTGCTAGAGTGGGTAAGGTGGTAATGTTCTCTCCCAACCTCATCTTCACCACACCCGAGATTAATGGCTTCGGTCCCAGCTCAATGACGAGGGTCTTGTCGTCGATGAGTCCCTTTTCTCGAGCAGATCTCAAAGCTTGGGCCATATCTACGGTGTGACGACAATGTTGCGCGACATATGATGGAGTCACGACGCCATGTTCGCGGATTTCTGACCGCAGCAAGGGAGAGAGAATTGGTAGTTGGGGCTTAGCAAATGTCGCTCCCTGAGACAGGGCCTCAAAGTCGTCCAGAATAGGTTGTACCTGGGCAGAATGGAAGGCAAATGGCAGTTTCAACAACGTGCACTTGGTCCTGTTGTCCGTCATGGCGCGTTGAACCTCAGCAATATTCTTGGTGGTGCCACTGAGAATGGTATCTTCAGGGCCATTAATACAGGCCACCTCACAATCATGATCGCTGATCCATTGGGACAGCGCTTCAGGAGTAGCTTTCACTGCCAGCATTGCATGAGTCCCGCGTTGGCAGCGCTCCTGGAGAAGCTCCGCTCTTTGACCAACAAGGTAAACCACGTCTGAGGCGGAAAGAATTCCCGCCGCGTAGAGGGCTGCGAATTCACCCAAACTATGCCCCACTGTTGCATCGGCACGGATGCCGAAGGAAGTTATGAGGTTAGTAAGGGCCATTTGAAGGCAAGTGATAGCCAGTTGCACCACAACGGGAGCCAATTCTTCCACATCGCCTTTAGGCGAAGTACAGACGTGAAGAAAGCTAGGGAAGCCATGACTTTGTGCGAATCGATCGAGCTTCCCCAGGTCCTCTCTGAAGGATGGATACGCATCGTACAGCTGCTTACCCATGGTTGCATATTGAGACCCTTGTCCCATGAAAGCAAAGAGAATCTTCGGCTTGCTTTTGGGTCGACTGACTCCATTCCGTTCTGTATAGCCATATCTAACTTGCGAGTCACCTCTTCAACAGACGCGCCAGTGACGCTCACTCGGTGTAGATAATGCCATCGACGCGCAGTAGTGGTATATGACAGCTGCGCGAGGTCAGTGTGGGGATGTTTCAGGAGATACTGATGCAGTCGTTCGAGGTTGGTTTTCATGGAAGCACCCACATGTGCAGACAGGGCGACGATATGACTAGTGCGCGAATCCTTCTTTGTCAGCCAGTGACGCTCCGGGGCATCCTCCACTATCAAGGCAGTATTCCCTCCCGCGGCACTGAAGTTGTTGATAAGCACCCTGTGGGGAGTGTGTGTGCGTGGCCAGGGCTTGGGTTCAAAAGCAATGTGCACATTGCGAGCTCCGAGATCGGGGAAATTGCGGTTGGTTTTGCTGCCCGGTTTGATACCGCAGTGTGGGGGTATGGTATCGCGCTGCATCATCATCAGAACCTTAATAAGGCTCGTAACCCGAGACACTCCCCCTCCATGTCCAACGTTGGCCTTGGCTGAGCCGACATATAGTGGCTGATCCGCCTTTCTGGCGGTTTCAGACGGCGCAAACACCGACAGTACCGACTCCATCTCCACCGCATCCCCTACCTGGGTGCCGGTGCCATGCATCTCAATGTAGCTGAAGTCATTGGGGTGGAGTCCAGTGGTATTCAGCGCCGCCGTCATGTTATCGATTTGGGCGCCCACGTGCGGCCGAGTCATCGACTCCGACATGGCTGAGTGATTAGTCTTAGCATCTAGGATAACGCCGAGAATGGGGTCATTATCTGCCAGGGCATCTTCCAGCCGTTTGATGAACACCGTCCCGACCCCCTCAGCTCGGCAGTAACCATCGGCCTTGTCGTCGTAGGGTTTGCAGTTGCCAGTCCGGGAAAGAAAGAACCCTTTGTCCAATCCTGTGTGACCATCAGGAGTATAGATCATGTTAGTTCCCCCTGCCACCGCCGTGTCACAGTCACCCCGCCAGAGAGAGTTGCAGGCCAAGTGGATGGCAGCTAGACTGGAGGAACAGGCCGTGTCATTGGTATAGCTAGGTCCAGCAAATTCGAAACAGAAGTTAATACGCCCCGGAATAAACCCACGATTTCCACCTGTGATGAAGTATGTGTCAATGTTCTGGGCCGAATTGGTCTCCATCCAGTCATTACTGGTGACTCCATGGAAGACCCCAATGCGGTCTCGCTGGGTCGACGGTGTGGTGTCGGGAACCAAACCAGCCCGCTCCATTGCCTCGTAAGTAGACATCAAGGCCATACGCTGAGCTAGATCCATCTGCGGCGCCTCTTTCGGCGAGATCCCAAAGAATCGGGGATCAAAATCGCCTGAGAAATCCAGCCAACAGCCCCATTTGGTAGCCCCTTTGTTTCGTGCTTTCCCGCTGGGATCCACATGCGTGTTGATGTCCCACCGTCGGCGGGGAACCTCTTTACAAACATCCAGCCCTTTGTATAGGAGGTCCCAAAAGCTTTCGGTAGTCGGAGATTCAGGAAACCTCCCCGACATGGACACAATAGCCAACTTGCACTTGCCTGCGCTTGGTCGACCCGAAGCGGGGATGGCCCGTCCGGTGTTAGTTCTCGTTTCAGTAGTGATAAAGCTGTCTCAGAGAATGCTGCTCATGGTCTTATTCATGCGAGTCAAGAATGGTACCATGGTGACGTTCTTGACCCGACAAGATTGCAAAAGGCGTGGTAGTCCAGTCTCAACGAGGTCTAGCCGCACTTGCTCCAAGAGAGTCTCAGACAGGGCTACCTCCATAAGGTCCCGGTAATTGGTAGTCTGGACTATTTTTCCCGTCACATGGGAAATATAAGGTATTTGGCCAGGCAGTTGCTCCCAGGGAATGGTAGGCGTCGTGTATAGTATGGCAGTGATATCTGCTTGCGTGAAGAGGGCGCCACTGTGGGCTGGTAAACAGATAGGAATTGGGGTAGTCCGGTGCTGGGACATCTCAGGCATCGCACAGAACGCCCTCAATGTGGATGGACTGCCACTTAGGGTGATGGCATTCTTAGAGATGCAGCTGATCCACGGGCGCCTTGTCTGAGGCACGTTCTATTGTATTGCATCGTTAGTATTATGTATCTTTTCCTGGGTACCGAAAGATGTAGAAGCACTCACTGTGGTCTGACAAAACACTCCAATTTGATCACGAGCTTGCTGGGGATCCAGACCCCGGACAATGGTAGACCAAGGGTCACCTCGATCGTCGCTACAGCCATCCACCCGATCCCGCATCTCCAGGGCGCAAAGGCCGAGGCGGAAGGCAATCAACACAGTTTGTACAGCGATAGGCAGCAGTTCTGACAGGGAACGACTACAGCTTACCGCCACAGCGGCCAAGGAACCCATGCAGAATCCCAGAACGTAGCTGTCACTGGGCTGCGGGTACCTGTTGCCAGATTCCTCATATTCCCTAGGAACATCTTTAGAAGAAAGTGGTGGAATCGATCTGAGGTAGGACAAAGAGAGAGAGAACGTACCGGATGAAGCATCCCAACTGGCAGAGGCACACTAGAGCGGTTCGAAATGCCGGGGTCAGGTTGCCGTCGACATACTTCTGCACCATTTGGCGCAGGTCAGCGGTTCGAGCAAACTTGTGATCAACCGTATTCATGCTCTGCAGCGTCTGGGCTCGCACCACATAGTGGGACTGGTCTAGAAAGGCGGCTAGAATAGGGCTGTCCTGGACGGACAGTAGACTGCGGAGCTTGGGAACAAAGTCCGCTGTCTGATCACCGAAGAGAAAGAGTTGCCTTGATTGAGCCATTGTGGAATAGAGTATGAGATCGTTGAAACTCGATGGAAGCAGGTCCGTCCCGAAGAGCTATAGGAGGCTATATCAGCATTTGAAACTACACCTCGAGATATTTCGTCGTTGACCGATGAGCTGAGTCGTATCGGAGCCCTCAGCTCTGCCGTCCAGATTACCAAGAGGCCAACCACACAGCCGCGGGCCAGTCTTACTTCCCGAAAATGAACCCATGCTGTATGTCTTATTGTAACATGCGGTCATCTAAGAAGCCCAGCTGAGGACTACACCTCTAGCATCCCGTTTCCCGGGTCAGCAAGAGGAGCCTTCAGCCATTTCGACCGTTCGAAGACCTCCTCTAATCATTTCCGATGTGATTGCATTAGACTTTTCTTCAGCCCTCCCCGGCTGGGCGCTTCAACACACATCCACCAGGCAAGGAGATCCCGTACGATCTCCATGACAGCATATGGAGGATCTCCGTTTCCTTTCTCCGATGGATCTGCATGTGTAGCTCGCTTTCCGACACGGGCTTTCCCCACCCCAATCTCCCTCGCGTACCCGACACAGACCGATTGAGGAAATCTTGACCGCTCTTAGACAAAACACGAGGGCGAAAGAAGAATAAAAGAACGTGTTCCTCCTTGCAGACGGAGAGTTAGCTGCCCACGCCTCTTTCAGTCGCATATTTACCAGAAGAACAAACAAGATGGGCACCGAATATGTCGCCGTCCTCACGGGGTCCTTCCTGACGGGTATTTCCCCCGTCTCTACGCCCACTGAAGGTTTGATAAGCAGCTGATCAAATGCAGGAGTCATGATGAACCTCCACCTGCTCACCATTCCCATTCTTATCGAGACCACCCAGCAGCCGGCTCAGCTGGTGCACCAATGGAGCCGTATTTTTTACAGCGGCCATCGTAAAGGCCCCGGAATCGCCATTGTGACGGGTGCCCTGTACGGATATGCGGCGTGGGCCAAGTTCTCTGTCGGTGAACCTTGGCATCACTGGATGGTCGCCGCCGTCACGACAGTGAGCATGGTGCCCTACACGTGGATGTTCATGAACGCTACAAACACCGCCCTCTTCCACGCCGAGGATCGTTTCGAGAAAGGGAGCGTGGAGATTAGCTTGCAGGAGAGCGTGAGATTGGTACGAAAGTGGGATTGGCTCAACACTGTTCGAGCGCTCTTTCCACTGGCGGGCTCGGTGATGGGGATGCTGGGAGTGTGCGGCGTGCTGCGGTACTGATGGTGATGGTCTTGACTACGGAAGATACCGGCCTGTATTGCTCGGATATCTATGGGTGTAGCCAGTAAATTCGGACTGACCCAAACGTCTGTCAATTTTGAGTTGCAACCGAGTGCAAGATCCTAGCGGTCAGCGAATGTAAAGTCGAGCGGACATGATCTGATCTATCAATCGGTACTGCTTTGCCACAAGAATAGCATGCAATAGACCTCGTTGTGGCCACGGACGTCCGTCACTGCGATGGTGACCTACTGCTAGTAAATGCCACATAGGCTACTTAAAATCGAGATGAGCAGATCTCTGCTATTAAGTCGATAATTAGCGTGCTAGATGCGCAAATATTTTTAGATAGGCCTTGCTCTTCTTTTTTCCTATTTTTTTTATTTTTATTTTTATTTTTATTTTTCTTGGGGCACCAGCACGGGGATCGAACTCGTTCGCATACCATCAAATGCCTGCCACCCAACCGCCCAACTCGGCCAGCGACCAACACACCACCATATATAATGGGATACTGTCATGGGTCCTTTGGTAGTTTCAACATTTCTTGAGTACTTTTCTAAGCCGTAACATAATGAACGGATCACTTAGCCAGCACGATCAAGAGAAGCTCTCTACGCCATGCCGGGATGGATCGCCTAAGGAGACGGTGTATTTGGTCACCGGGGCCAGCCGAGGTATGGTCCATCAAATCAGGGGTCCTACGAAGTCGTACTGATCACACGCAGGCATCGGACGAGGTCTCGTTGAAGCCTTTCTCCAACGTCCCAGAAGCACCGTGGTCGCTTGCGTGCGCAACGTTGCCACCGCTACGCCGGCGCTCTCGACACTAACCGTCGCCGAAGGCAGTCAGATGATTGTGGTGCAGCTGGACTGCAACTCGGAAACCGATGCTCAGACTGCTGTCCAGACCCTTCGGGAGGAGCACGGGGTCACGCACTTGGACGTGGTGGTTGCCAATGCGGCCATGGCGACGAACTTTGGGCCCGCGTCCACCATGCCTCTCGAGCATCTCCAGGCGCACATGATGGTCAACATGTATGCTCCCATCTTACTGTTTCAGGCAACCCGCCTGATGCTGTAACAGTCCAAGCAACAGGCCAAGTTTGTCTTGATCGGTGCCCCGATCAGCACCATCACCAACATGCACGACTATGCACGGGCCCCACTCACGGCGTACGGAGTGTCGAAGCTGGCGGCCAACTACATGGTGCGCAAGTTCCACTTCGAGAACAAATGGCTCACGGCCTTCATCGTCGATCCAGGGTAATCACCGTTCGAGGATTCTTGTGACAACGTATATTCGCTGACCGAAACATGCTAGACATGTCCAAACCGATATGGGCGACCAAGGAGCGCGGCTAATGGGCCGTCCGCAGGCCCCAACAACTGTCGCAGACAGTGTGGCAGGCATCTGTGCTTGGGTATGATCATTGCCTTCTTCTTTGCGCGAGCTGAGCGCGGCATGCGCTAACGTTGGGGTGGTAGATTGATGAAGCGACCAAGGAGACTACATCGGGACACTTCGTTATCCACACTGATGGATCTCAACTCTCTTGGTAGGACACTAGTGACGACGAATCGCGGTCATAGGTTTCTGAGACGAGCATGGAGCTCGTCCAGGAAGGCGCGGTGGGGTCCTGGGTTCGTGTCGCGGCGGCTTTCGCTCGATCGCTTTGTGCATAACTTGTTCGGTCTCTTCCGTTTCGTCTGTTTAGGACCTTAAGTGATTAAATTAAATTGAAACGCAACTTTCGTTTTCGTGGAACCCTGATGCAAATATCGATGTGTTTAGAAAGGGCAATGGAATCGAACCGGGGAGAGCGAACGCGTTTCAAAGCCAGCGGAACGCCTCGAGACAATCATTGGTGCCTGAATAAACTGGCCTTCCACACCACCCCCCGTTTATCTTCGTTCCGCCTCGCATAAATAACCACAGGTGCATGCTCAAAGATGATCAACTAGACCAAGAGAACTTAGGTGGGAAGGATACGGACATTCGCAGTGCCGTTTATTTGCATCCTGAAAAACAGCTCCCTGTCTCAGCAGTATTTTCTCCTCGCGACGGGCTGAACCCCGTCTACTACACCATGGGAGAGTTGAAATATATATTTTTTTGGTAGCAATGCCAATCAATAATCGAAGACAATAGACTGGTAGTAGTAGTAGTAGTAGTAGTAGTACACAGAGGCGATTCTATTCGACTAGCACACAAAAGTCACTAACGTTTAACAATACATTTCCGCGATCGTATAATCATGCTTGAATTTGTAAATTCAGTGCATGCTAATTCTTAAGTCCATGGGGTTGAGCTGTGCCTCTGGTTTTCATCTCCGCTCTCCCTCGAGGGTATACTGTAGACACACTAATCCCAGTCTGTACTAGTTAGGGGGCTGGGCGGTGGAAATTAACAGGTACCCAAGGCCACTAACCCGACTGGAGCAATTACCCAGCAGTATCCACACCGCCCTCTATAACCGTCTCCGCGCTTCGACGTCCTGAGCGTCAATTCGCCCATCACGGCGACTTATCCACCAACTACGGATTCAGACAGACGCGTCTCGGACGGGTCTCAAACAGGATCCATTCACGAATGCTAGCAGCCAATCAATGGAATCAATTCCTGGAAGATGCGACGCACAAGTTCATCAATCTTTACTACTACATACTCTGTACGATACACGAGGTCCATGGGATATCATCAGGTTCAAACTCACGCGACGACCAGTCAGTATGAAGCACCAGCCATCAGCCCCAGCGCCACCGCTATCACCGCGTCGTCGCCATAGCTGATGCTCAGTTGCACTCCTTCCAATCCTCGCTGCCGCGCCGCTGTTTGCGCAGCACCCCAGAGCTGTTGTTTGTCAGTGATGCATGGATTTCAAATGATCAAGAATCGCATACCTTGACTTTCGGTTCGCCGTTACTACCATGCTCGATCTCAATCTCTTTCATGGCTGCCCCCGCGCCTTGTGAATGTGTCTGGAGACATTTGAACACCGCCTCTTTTGCACACCACCGGCTGGCATAGGCCGCGCGCACATCCGCAGTCTTTTCAGCCCATTCGCGCTCACTCACCGTATAATTGCGCTCAACAAAGATGGTGTTCTCGTATGCGTCGAACGAGGCGAGAGGAACCAGGTCTACGCCCACCGTGCCGCCGGGAGATATATGTGGTCGCACTTGCTCCTTGATCCAGGTGGAGGAGATGCCCTTCACTAGCTCGGCGCGTTTACCGGGAGATGGCAGAGGAACATCGTCGGGGGCCGGACTGGCATCGGGACGAAAACGATACTGGCCCGTCGACGGATCCTGGGAGATACGCGCTAAGGGATCGAGGAAAATGCGGGGAGCATCGTGCTCGTCGTACGGGTTTTGCGTCTGGATCTTCACCACCGACTGCGACATAACCGCCGCGGCGTAGGCGCGATCACCCGCCTCGGTTCGAACCCTCACCTTGCGATAGTAGCCCTCAACCTCGGGACGGGGGAGCGTTGCAAGGAAGTACTTGGGGGCCACGCCGATGACTTGGCCCCCCTTCTGTCCGAAGCCAAATGAGGTCAGCAGGAATGCGTTGACCTCACGTAAATACACGGATGTGACATGCTGCGCAGAGCCTCGTCTAGCGTGTCCAGATTGCGGTTGCCGGGCACCAGCCCCGAGTCGAGTACTTGGAGGCATCCATTGAGCATCCATGCGGCCGCTGGTGCTTTAGGGTGTCCCGTCACCGACTTTTGGCAGACGGCCCACAAGGGGCGGCCAGGAGTGCGACCTAAATGACGCATCTGCGTCTCGATCACCTCGGGCTCATTGAGGTCATTGCCGCGCGTCGATGTGCCGTGCAGTGAAGCCACATCCAGGTCGTCGATAGTTAGCCCCCAAGTCGCTAGTGCTGCTCGCAGCGGGGCTATATCAGTGGTGGATCGGGCGCGTTGTGTGCGATGAGCGGGATTGCTGATGGAGGTGATTGAAGTCAAAGAAGATTTGTCCGAGACTTCAGATGATGTGCTGTTGCGGCTGCTCGGGCGCGACGTGAGGGATACCATGCTGGATCGAGTGCGCTCACGGGAGAAGCTTAGAATGCCCTGTCCCGGTGCTGGCACCGGGGAACCAATCTTGTCGCCGGCCATGGCTGAGCCGGCAATGACCGCATAGATAGGGAGACCCACTTGCAGGGCGATGTCACCTCGATACAGCAGCTGTACGCCGCAGCCATGCGCCTCGACAAAGCCCGCACGACTCTCAGCCATGGGGCGCGACATCTCCGAGGGTTGTCGACCGCGGGCGGTTTCATCTGCAACGTTGACCGTAGCCTTGAGTTGTGCGAATCTATCCGATGCCTCCTCCTGCAGATTATCGTAGCCACCCACGAGACACATTTTGGTCTTGCCTGTTATGATTGACTCGTAGCCAGAATTGATCGACTCGACCCCGGTGGTATATGCACCGACGGGAGTTTTGATCGGCCCCGTGCAGCCAAGGAGCAGCATATTGACCCAGGCAGCGGGTGTGTTGAGATAAGTGTCTTGCAGAACATCCGACGGGATCTCATGATCTAAGTAGATATCTCGGTGGAGCTAACGAGTCTTCGTCGGCCCACCTATAGAGGATCTGATAAAGTTGCCTAGTTCCGAGAGGTGTATGTGTCGAAAGATCTCAAGAGGGTGAGTTATACCGGTACTGTAAAATGCCTCGGCCACGCAGCAAACCGTATACAGCGTGACGGGGTCGACCTGATGGTTAGGTTCTTAGGGATGCTGTACTTGGCTGGAGCCCATCCCGTCGGCAACTCACCGGCACACGATTCCCAAACAAAGGGAACTGTTTTGGGAACAAGGATAACGGCGCCTCGTTTAAGCTTCACGCGGCATGTGTCGGGATTCCCAACGGGGCGGATGGAAACGTGAGCCCCATGGCGGAGGCGCATGGAGTCGGCGGTAAGTTGAGATGCTTCAAACTCGGGCAGATCCTCCTCGACGGCGGCCTCCTGCAGGACTTCCATGCGCTCTGGATTGTACGAGGTGGACCGGATAGGACGGATACCGGTGTGGTTGTCAATATGGTCCCCGTACAGTGCCTGGATCTCGCCATCCCGCACTGGTTTCCCGGTCTGAGTATCTACCCAACCAACGTAGGAATCATCGTCGACGTGGCGGATGAGGTTTAATAGCCAGGCAAGTTCGACATAGCCGGCTGAAGTCTACTGGCCCTGGCTCTCTATTTCCCACCGTAACCGCGCGCTATCCCATGGCCCCAGTTCCGAGTACCCGACCACCACCACAGTATTGGCCGGATCTTGCAATCTTTCCAGACGCGGGAAGAGGGGACGAATGTCTTGCTCATAATCGGGGAGACGGGGATAGCCTACACGAAGGCTACTGCGGGGGTGTATTGGGGCCACGGGTGCTTGCAGGGTAGGCTTTGTTCCCGGAGACAAGAGTCTCTCATGTTCATCCTCGGCCTGCACGGCACGAATCACCTCGGCCGCCAGCTGGACTTTGGTGCAATTGGACTAGTAAACCGGGGCTGCTACCCAATGTTCGCAGGCTGCCGGTGAAATCGGCATCCAAAGGTCCATCTTCACAATGGGCCACGAAGTCGGGGGTTAGCAGCATGGTGATGTTGAATGCCATCTCAGCAACAGAAAATGTGCGTATTCCGTGCTCCTCGACCTTATCGGCGATGGTATCATGGGCCGTCGTTAGACCGGTCGACCGGGTCCAACCGATGCGAACGCCGCAGATAGATAGCTGGTCCGACCAAGACTCTGATCGGATGCGATGGAACAGGGTCTCAAGGGCTAGCTTTGGCTCCGGATACATCCCATCGCCACCGAAGATGCCATGATTTGGTGACAGTGGCAGCAGCACCTGGGTCGGATGGCAGTCAACCCCGGCATTTCGTTTACAGTGGACGATATGTCCCAACAAGCGGAAGACATTGACCAGCATTAGTCGGTGGCCCAGATCGCTCTGGCCCCCAATGTCATGCATCTCGGTGCTATAGTCGGATGCGGCAGCGAAGGGAAGGATGGCATCTAGATCCCAATTTAACCCCCGGGGATCGTAGACGTGCTGGGTCAGCCCTTCGCAATCTTGGGCACTGGCTAGATTGCAAGGTATTACCCGCAGCTCGGAGAACTTTGCGCCGTGATTATCGTACATCTGCTGGAAGTATCTGGCTGTCGTCGCCGGCTCCCTGCTCGTCGTCACCAATACTCGGGCTCCTCCCTCTAACAATAGACGCACCACTCCCGCTCCTATCGACCCCTGACCCGCTCCCGTCACCAGAAATGCTTTACCAACAAACGAGATTCCATCAAGGAGTGCTAAGCACATGGCCTCAAGCAGAGCGTCGGTCAAGTTGATCGGAGTATCGACGTCGACTGACTTGAGACCAATGAAAGATGTGCCCTGGCGGAGCGACTGGATATACGCAGTGGGACCACTGACTCCCTGGCGAGGTGTCTCTGCGTATTCAATCTTGCCATCCTTTGTAATGGTGGTGTGGGGGCCCACCACCGGGAGAATGAGGCGTGTCTTCGGGCAATCCGCCACTGTGGATATGATGGACTGCTCAAGGAGCCGCGAGGCGGTATGATATCCGGGCAAAGAACCTTGCTTGAAGTAGGAGTCACAGGAAAGTCTGCGTACCATGTTGAGGAGGGCCTCATTGGCTCGGCTACAAAGACGATTGAGAAAAGCTTTGAAGGCCAGGGCGTCGTTCACGAATTCACTGTAGGAAGGACGACGATGGAAGGCCAAGATATCCTGCCGTGCCATGTTCCACCACGAGCCATAGCGTCGCGACTTCTTTACATCCAACATTGGTGATATCCCGGCGAGAAACTCGGGGGTCATCTCGGCCGTCCAGAGATCGACTTTCTGCTGAAGTTCCGCTACCAAAGCATCCGTCTGAGAGGCTTGAGACCCCAACAAATCAATTTGTAAGTATTCTGCTAGCGCTTGGAACTGTTGAACCCCGAGCCTCCGGTGCGCCTTGGAAAACTCGGCTACCACAGCCAGATCAACCGCCGAGGAAGCCACAGCGTCTTCATTCATAGTGTCTTGTCTTGGGCGGAGGGTGATGCCGCACGATTCGGCGTACATGGATAACACGTTGTCCCAGTACTCTTCCGCTGCGCTCGATAAAGCTAAACGCGATGGGGGTTCTGACGCAATGGCGTAGAGCAGCACCGCGGTTTGTCGCAAGGGTCCCAGACCCCACTTGTTTGCCAGGTGAGCTCAAATAGCGTTGGCATTGAAGTCACTAGGCATCTTGGACGAAATTAGTTTGGCAACAGGGTATTCAAGAGGGTTAGGAAATGACCGCACGAAAGCACCCGTTGGAAGAAATTTAAGAGCCGCTCCATTTTCTTTTGTTCACGAGTTTTTTGTGTCCACTCTGATCGGGACAAAATCAGCGCTAACTAGAGAACGCCTGTGGGGGATGCGTGCTGTCTGTTTTCTAATTATCGCTATTAATGGATGTATTCGAAATCATGTGATGGTCTAGATCGCGTCCATAAATCGCTAAAGAAAGTTGGGTCAAGCAAGGCTCGTTTTGGAGAGTCTACTCCATAATCAGAAGCACCCCAACAGTGACTCTTCTTTTATATCAGAATCAACCACCTCTGCCCTAGGGTCAGGATGCCATCAGTTTCCATATGAGTTTGACGTGCGAGTTGGGCGATGGCCTGGCGCTAGATGGCAGGTACGCAATATCCAGCGTAGCTATGCAGGTATAGATAGAAAAACTTGATTTATGTAAAACTAAGACTGAAGAATCGAATCGCAAGGGCTAATCATGGGTGAGAGTGAGAGCGAGGCTTAGTCTGGACTATTATACATTACATCAATAACTATGTCACAAATATACACATTTCTTATGTGATTCCGACACGATGATGGCCGAATTTGAATCAAATAATTTCACAACACTTGAAATCAGATTAACCTAACACAGCTGAAATTAGCATGCTTAACTTAATGCACCCTGGAACCGCACGCCGCCGCCTCCCGACCTGTATGGTTTCCACGAATCAAAAGGGCTTCTTAATCATTTTGGTATCCTTTTCTAACCAGGTGCCGAAATCCTTCAGCTCGGGATACACCTTCTTCAACATATGAATGTCGGCCTTGTACCCGTTTTTGTAAAACCAACGGTACATATTACCCACATCCTTGACCATGAACATAAGCAGGTGAGCAAGAAAGCCAAAGGTCATTGGGATATCTTCGCCGGTGCGAGCCTTGTATATGCGTGCCATTTCCTCGAATGTGATTTCATCGCCGGCTAGGGAAATGCACCGCGCCGTGTATTCTTCGGGATGCAGGAATGCCTGGGCACCGAAAAAGCCGATATCACTGACTGCGACTAGCTGCAAGGGCTTATCCTTGAGGGCGACTTTCCAGCAGGTGTTTACGAGCTTACCCGCGAAGCCAGGAGTGAAGTTGTCGAAGAAGCAGGTGGGGCGCAGGATCACGTAGTTCATGCCAGATACTTGGGTTTTGTCTAGGAGATACTTCTCAATGTTGTGCTTTGTGGCGAAATGAGGCACATCAGTTGGGTTGTGGATTGAATCGTCACCGCCTCGGTCCACAGAGGTATAGACGAAGTGCTTGACGTTGTTCTGGACAGCTGCATCGATTACAGCCTTGGACTGTTGCTCCTCGACATCGTGCTTAGATCTTGTTGGGACCATGACCTTTTTCGCAAGAAGTCAGCGGATGGCCATGTAAGGTAGACGATGGTCTCGGCCGGGCTATCAATGCCAACACTTACGGGCACAAGGAATACACCCCAGATTCCTTGAGAGGCAACCGTCATGGCGTTCTTGAAGATCCCCGGCACATCGCTTAGATCACCTTCCACGAGCTTGATCGTGGGGTATTTCTCTCGAAGCGACTGGGCTCTGGGTGAATTCTTCTTGCGAGTAAGAGCAAGAATCTCTAAGCCTGCGTTCGCTTTGAACAGGGCATCAACGACACTACCACCCTGATTTCCAGTGGCACCTGTAACCAGCACTGCTCGAGACATGGTTGTAATGCTCTTCCTAGTTACCAAGAAGAAGAAGGGCGATGAGGAAGGCGATGAGTGAAACGGTAAGCTGTTGCAAGTGGCAGTGGCCTTGAGAGGCGAGGAAAGGGCTCGGGTGGTGTAGCGCAGCATGACAGAAAAACCTCAAGGATCAGGGGGTGCAGAAACTGCATTTGTAAGCTGCGCCTATGGAGAGGGCTGCTGGAGCTAACGCTGTGGGAATTTCTGAGTTGTTATATGATTGGTCTGTTTAAGCTGCATAGTCGGGAATGTGAGGTGCTCGTCTGGGTTCGGGCGGAGGAGCGAGGCCCGTCCCTCGATGGACCACGTTAGTGTTAGCTCGGGAGTGATCGGTGTGTCCACAGGTGGAGTTGCTAGGGAGAAGCTTCACTAGGGTCTTTTGTTACGCCAAGCCAACGCACCTATTTATTTACCCGGGGGATTTGAACACTGTCCACCTCATTTCCACATCGTACATCGTCAACACCATCTCGTTATCCCTACCAAGCACTGCCTCACGCGATCATGACGAGTCTCAATCTTGTCCGTCAGGCAAATGCCACCGTTCGGAAGCAACGGCCCAAAATGGTGGCTGTATTTGTAGGGGGAACAAGTGGGATTGGAGAGGCGACGGCAAAGGAGCTAGCAAAAACAGTACATGCACCTACAGTTTACATCGTCGGTCGCAACCAAGAGGCTGGCTCTCGTATCCTGGCCGACTGTCAGGGTTTGAATCCCCACGGCACGTACAGATTTATCAAGTCGGATGTGTCGCTTCTCCGTGAGGTTGACACGGCTTGTCAAGAGATCCAGAGCAAGGAAGCTGCCGTGGACCTTCTCTTCATGACGCCGGGCCACCTGGCAACTCGGAAAAATAGTACGAGTCCGAAGATGATTTCGTCTCCCTCTCCAGGACTGACAAAACTATAGACACGGCGGAGGGACTAGACGATAACCATGTGCTCCGATACTACGCCAGAATGCGATTCATCCAAAACCTGATACCTCAGTTACAAGCCGCCGAGCTTCCCGCGCGTGTTCTTACGATTCTTGCCGCCGGAAAGGAGGGTGAGATTGATGAAAGCAATTTCGATCTTCAGGCAAATTGGTCCTTCGGTACTGCCGCTGTCTATGGAGCAACTCTGAATTCCTTAGCGATAGAGTATCTGGCTTCGCAGTATACCTCTATTAGCTTTATCCACGTCTTCCCAGGACTGGTACGCACATCGCTCATGAAGTCGAGTTTTGGCAGTCTACTTGGTTCGGTAATTGGCCTACTCACTAGACTGCTGTCGATATCGGAGCAGGAGAGTGGAGAGCGCAATATCTTTCTTGCAACATCGATGGCGTATGCACCGGTCGCGTATGCCGGTGATGCCACATCTAAGCAGGTACATGTCGCAACCGCGTCTACAGGGGAGGCCGGTGGTGGCTCATACCTCCTGAACTATGATGGGACGGATGCAACCAATAAGACCTTAATGGCAGACTATCGCGCGAGGAACTATCCGAAGAAGGTATGGGAGCATACCCTGGGTGTCTTTCAGAGGACCCTCGGCGCGGATTCTTAGCTTATCTGAGCTGTCACTCGCGATGGCGGCTGCCGATATAGAAAATAGTCTACTTTCATGTTGGCACCAATATTGGTACTTCAAAATTACTAGTGCTTCTCTCTAGGGATGATTATAATTGGACTATAGGCGTAGCTATCTCGTAACTCCATACACTCGGGCTTGGCGATATGACTCGCCTATCTCTCGCGTAATGCTAGCTGATCACTGCCTCGCAAGGGATAATACACTGTACATAAAAGACGATCTCACTGGTCGAAGCGTACATTAGCGCCGGGAATCGCAATGGCCGGGGGGCCCACCCGAAGGATCAGTTCCCGACGGTGGATCTCCGGGCGCTATTTCCCACCGCACCGCCTTTGACATTCCTCTCGGGCTATGGAGTCATTCTTAGGGCCGAGAGTGGGTCTTCATTTGTAATGCCATGGGGTCTGTGCCCTGCCCATTCGGGAATGGCATATCTGAGCAGTGCTTGACGAGTAGTTGACCCCTTCACTTGGGCCTATGGGCTCATGCCACCGCGGTGATGGAAATCGGATCTATACACTGCACCGCTGGTCGGTGCAGTTATGATGCGCTGGCCGTGATGTAAACTATTCCGTCGATATAGATGAGATTGGGAAATGAGCAACTAGGAGGGACTGGTAGATAAGGCATACATGGTATACAGGGCTAGCGAAAAATATTCATGGCTCCCTAGTAGTCTCCCCTACAAAAGAGCATTTAAAAATTACAAGATAAAAGCCTTTCGCCTATACCACGCGCAAAACGCTTCCGTTATCGCGAATCCATTCTAAACAGCTTTTGGACAGGATGGGGCAGTTTAACGATCTAGTAAACACCATTTCGAAAGAATCAGAGCGTATTTCAAACCATTGCAAGACGGAAAATCTCCCTGAGCCCTCCTTCGATGCCAAATTTCCACCAAACAGTCAAATACCTGATGAAAGCGAGGAGCTGACAGCTGCACGGCGCAACCTCTTTCAGGCTGCCGCAGACCTTGCGATACTGGCCCTTGGACCGTCCGAATACCTTCGTTGGCAGGCATGGAATGTCAGTATATAGCCCCCTATATATGGAATCGTCCCGGTGGCATAGCTTGGGAACTAACCGGAAATTGCAGCAATTCAATGACAACATCAGCCTTCAGTCAATTCTTCGCTTCCGTATTGCCGAATCAGTTCCCCCAGAGGGAATAACAATCTCAGATCTCTCGGAGGCAACAGGGGTAGATCAACACCTTCTCATCCGTATCGTTCGTCATGCCATGACCTCACATATTTTCTACGAGCCTGAGCCAGGCAAGGTCGCACACACTGCCTCCTCTCAGGCCCTGTCCAGCAACCAAGGAGTTCGAGATTGGTTGGATATGACTCTTGAAGAGTGGGGTCCGGCTGCGGTGCGCACTGTGGACGCTTTCCAGACGTACCCAGGTAGCGAGGAGCAGAAAGAGACTGGGTTCGGGCTGGCATTTAACGGCCAGACGATCTTTGAGTTCCTTGCCCAGCAGCCTGAGCGGTCGAAGGTTTTCGGTGGCGCTATGGCTAATTTTTCCAAGGGGGAAAGTCATAGGATAGAACATTTCGTCCACGGATATGACTGGAAGGCGCTCGGGAAAGGAACGGTGGTCGATGTGAGATTGGATCTGAATGCTCAGTTGTAATCCTGGCAAAATACTGATCAGTATGGCTCATATAGATTGGGGGATCCCACGGTCACATCAGCGCTGCCATCGCGGCCGAAGCTCCTGACCTCAGGTTTGTCGTCCAGGACCTTAGCGGAACAGCGGCCGAAGGATGCAAGATGCTCGATGCCGCCTTGAAGGACCGTGTTACGTTTATGGCCCATGACATGAATGACATACAGCCCGTCCTTGGCGCACAAGCCTACATATTCCGCTCTGTGCTCCTAAACTGGCCTAAGAAGTACTGCGTCAAGTTTCTGAAGAACTTAGTCCCCGCTATGACGCCTGGTGCACTGCTCATTATTAATGAGGGACTTCTGCCGGACCAGGAGAGGCTATCTGCCTGGGATGACCGACTTCTCCGGTCTGTTCACCCACCATTCTTTTGACTCGGAGAGATTTGTTACTGACATGGAGCTATAGGAGCTTGGACCTCTGCATGATGGGTATGTTTAACAGCAATGAGCGAACGGTAGAAGAATGGAAGGGCATTCTCTCCGAGGCAGACGCGCGCTTCAAGCTTATTAATGTTCGTCGCCCGAGCCCGGCGAGTTTACTCTGGATTCTGGAGATTGTATGGGAATAGATGTTTGGGATTTAAGGTAGAAAGAAATTGTATAGATTTGCGTCAGAATATTATGATATCGGAAAGCTCGCCCACCTACAATCTAAACCTAACTATAAAAACGTTATTAAAATATATTGGCTGTTGTGCTTCCATGTCATATTTCACTAGCATGGCCAGAGTCATGTTATTCGAGCTTTGCCACGCCCAAGGGAAAACCCTTCAATGCAGTGAAACGGTTATATAAAGAGACAGGTCTAGAAGTATTGTCACATAGACCACTAGATAAGATTCAGGGCTTTAGCGACTATCATTGCAACCATGCAACCCTAAATGTAGGATTCATTAGGAGAGACTAAATTACACACACATATATAAAATAATCGTTATTCTATAGTTGGGGGATCTCGGCCTTAGCTATAGCAGAGGCCTATTTTCCTTTCTCCTTACTTTCCTCCTCATCCGCCGCCGTTCTCTCCGTCTGCAGTCCTTGCGCCGAGTTCAAAACCTGATCTAGGTCATAGCTCTTCGTCAATAGACTTGTGAAGAGCGCGATCCCACATATGGCACAACAGACAGCATACACGACCCGCAGACTATCTGTATACGCATCTTTCAAATTATTCTTCTCACTCTCATCTGCCATACCCGCAATTGCTCTGACAAGACCCGCTGCATCCTGACTATACGTGTCAGCCATTGGCGCCAGACTGGGGTATTTCAAGAGGTTCTTTTTCATTTGGTTCTGAAAAACCACACCCCCAACAGCAACGCCAATACATTGGCCCAGTGCACGGAAGAAACTAAACATGGCCACGGCCATTGACAGGTTCTCACTGGGTGTTGCAGCCTGCACGGCGAATGTTAGGGCTGGGAAAAGGACGCCCAGCCCCAGGCCGCTGACCAGGTTGATGAAAAGCCATTGGGGGATGCTGCTATCCGATTTAATATAGCACATCAGCCCCATTCCAAGGGTTGAAAGCACCCATCCGGACCAGACAGCCCACCGATAGCTGCTTGTTTTAGTAATTGCAAATCCCACAATAATAGCGCTGGGGGCGACAGTGAAGGTCTGAGGAAAGAGCGCTACACCAGCAATGATTGGAGAGTACTGCTTTACAGCCTCGAAGTATAATGGAAGATAGTACAAGACACACCACAGAACTAGTCCCTGGACAACACTTCCGATGTAAGTCACTGTTGCTGTCCTGTTATTGAAGATACTTGGTGGGATCATAGGGTACTCGGCGACGTAGTATTCGTAAAATGCGAATGCGACCAGGCCACAGGGGCCTACGATAATGGGTACAAGAGTACGCCATGAATCCCATGCGTACAGCACCCCGCCCCAAGTTAATGGAATGAGGAAAGATGTCATGCTTCCGATGAAGATCACTGCTCCGAGCCAGTCTATGGAGCGGAGCTTCTCCACTACTGAACCTGGGATCGGGCTCAGGTTCAGGAACATAGCGACGAATACCACTCCGACTCCAATAAAGGGAAAGTTAATGTAGAAAACCCATCTCTATAACGTTGTTAGCGCGTTCTCCTGTTTGTTGTACCGGAGATCCTACCCAGGTGACATCCTCCGCAAATCCACCTCCAAGGATAGGACCAGTCACAGATCCAATACTCCACATCGCGCTAAGAATGCCCAGATACTGGCCTCGTTGTCTCAAAGGCACTACATCGGTCACAATGACTTCAGTGAGCGCGATGATTCCACCACCCCCGACACCCTGAATTGACCGTCCGACGAGCATATATGTAAAGTTTTTGGCGATACCCGACACTAAAGCCCCGACGAAGAATAGTAGAATGGAAAAAAGAATGACTGGGCGTCGGCCAAACACATTTGATAAATTGGCAAAGCTTGGCTCAAACACTGGCGGGTGTATCGGTCAGATCTGTCAGATTATACTCCATAACACCAGTCAGACTCACCTGTAGATGTCAAGAGGAATGATGTTCCAGTCCAGAAGGATTCAATAGCCGTTCCATGCAGGTCTTCCGACATGATCTACTGTTGGTGTCAGCAGTTGAGCGACGTTGGTTCCCCTTTAGCACCCTTCTTCCAGTTATTCCGCGCAGTCGGGCTCAATGGTTGCATACCGGAAGGGCAACAGACACAGATGTTCCATCAAGAGCAGCCATCAGTGACAGCACCGACAGCGCCAAAAACACCAGAAGTCCACGTGTCCCCAGTTTGAAGTCGTCCGCGCCCTCCTTGGACATTACGGTGCCTGATCGATCTTCGTCGTGCAAGGCACGCGAGTCAGATGGTGTTTCGCCTGTCATCTTTACCAGAATTGACACAGTAGCCCTCACTCGAAAACGAGCATTGAGCGAAAGAAAAGGCTTAAATGTAGCTCTTGTTAGCTTCTCACAGAAGTGGACAATACTTTCGGAAAATCAACCTTAGGCGAAAAAGGTCTCACACAACGATCTATAGGGGGTCCATATGCAATCCAACATTATTTCCTCCTAGATTATCAACTACACTATGTTAAAAAATGATCCAGACCAACATTGCCTACGCTTCCATACACATCACTCACTGCACTCTCTTTCAAGGCGCGAGAGAGTCGGACTCCACGGCACAAGTCGCACTATTAAACCTACCTTGCTTTTTCGGTATCCGCTCAAGCCCACCTTTCGGACAAAGAAACGAGAGGATATGATAGGCCACTTTACGGGAGAACACTCTTGGGCATCCGTGGAGTAGTGCGCCGACAAGATTCCACCTTCCAATCCGATCGGTATCACCCAGTGAGTGGCTTCCGTGATCGTCGGGGTGGCCGATCATCTCGGCCTTCGGTGATCAAGATTACAAATCAACCGCAGCTGGCTTTCTGTGGGGGGCCCACAATGTAATTCTGAGCGTTTGCCAGGTCCCTTAGCCCATGTTTTAATAACATGGATGGCGGCTGCCCTATATTGTTCGCCCACCACTGACGTGGTCGGAAAATCGAGTAACCAAGGCCACCCACAAATGTCTGTAGGTTGAATGGTATTGAATACAGACATAACTTTTTTTATTCTTGGCCATAAATATGTAGGTTGCATACTGGAGGTAGCCTCAGGTAGTATATTGCGTATTTGAGAAGCATGATTGCAACCAATCAGCTTGGGAGAATGGCGGGGGGAAAAGAAATTAGAAGGATGAGATAGACCTGGTAGAACGCACCAAGTCTCCACATCACTCCAATAGAACGTAGTGGGAGCAATGTTAGGATAAGAAAAGAATCTACGTTGGGCCGTGAAAGAGGTGACCAATAAGGTGGAAGAATTTAATACATATTAAGCCATGGCTACCAAATAAAAGCCCTATCTAAGTTACCGAAGAATAAAAAGACTTCCCGGAGTCACTCTAGATAGCAATATTAGTCCTCTAGGAACTCTACAATTACCACAGCAAGTGAGCCGCTGTGAAGGATATATACAGGGCAGAGACAAGCATCAATAGATGTGATCTCTTCAGCCCTCTCCTTTTGACATCAATCAAACACCAGTAGTAGGACCGTTCCAGCCACGATCGTGCAGATGAAAGCCGAGAAGTAACGGAGGCAACCAGATAAAGTAATAGCTCCCCGATAGGTACGCACAGGGCCCCCTTGGTCGGAGGCATCAAACGCAACCTGGATACGAACACTCTCGACTTTCGGTAATTCCTAGGAGAGGAAGTCCTTGATGTAGGAGGCAACCTCATGAAGCTAGATCAAGTTAACTGGCGGTTTGTTAAGGTATATTGGAAAGGCACATAGTGCTTACCTGTTCACCATAATTCAGCATAGTGAAGTGGTTACCGTCGACCGTCTTGAATTGCACCGAGTTAGTACCGAGGAGCCTGTCCCATCCGTTAAACCCGAAGTCGGTACGGTTATCGAGGAGCCACGTCATGCTCCACGGTTCGTCGTCAGTCTTGACAGGCCGGGGGTCGGTGGGGTGGCGGCACACTCCATGTTGTGCCCAAATGATGAGAACCTTGGGGATTTTTGTGTGAGGCTGGATAGGAATGGCCTTATATTCAGAGAGCGCTTTTATGGTGGCCTCAAAATGTGGAAGTAGCCAGGACGGTGGGGCTTGGCCGTTACTTCCGAGAAGACCAGATTCTGCGAGGAAAGCATGAAAGCGCTTCGGAAGTGCGGGAAGGCTAACTGGGCATGGAGAATCGAAGAATACAAGCTGCTCCACGGTTTCGCCTTGAGTAATCAGCTGCTGGGTAACTTCATAGGCGAGGACACCTCCCGCGGACCAGCCACCAAGATAGTACGGTCCCCTCGGTTGGCGGCGACGAACTTCATTTAGGTATAGGGTAGCAACTCCACTTATTCCTATGGTGAACTTCGAAGGGTTAGTCATGAAGGGGCAATTAAGACCATAAACGGCGATGGTAGCGTCGACTGGCGGAATTGTGGCATACGATGTGGCTGATCCTGAGCCGTCAGGGAACAAGAAGAGTGTTTTGGTTGCTTTACTCGGCTTGCCCTGGAGCAAGATAGACACAGCCCGCGCTGTTGAGACTATGGCCGAGCTTGGCGCAGTATCCCTGGCTTGGGGACTCGATTTTAGGGTTCTCTGCACAGTGATGGGAGGGGCGGTGTTCGTAGGTGTATTGAGGCCAAGGAATTCTTCAATACAGGCGACAGTTCCATAGTCGACAAAGAGTGAAGATGGGAGCACAAGATCTGTCTGCTCCCGTAGGGAACCCAAAATTGCGATACTCATCAGAGAGTCTAGGCCGAGGGAGGAGAGATCAGCGGAGCCGGTAACATCCTCCAATGGAATGTCCATCTCTCGCGCAATTGTTGCGCGAAGTATATTGCGGATTTCATCTTTCTTTGGGCCAGGAACGTCATTCTTGGGAGGGATTTCATCAGACTCAATGGAAACCTTGGAAGCGGCCTCCCAAGAGTCATCCATCGAGGATGTAGATGATGTCGATGCTGTCTCGGCCGCAACAAAATCTTGCAGATACTTCATGAAGTCACCAACCGTCTCGTTGTCCAAGAATGCTGAACCCTGAATATCTAGACCTAAGTCCTCGCGAATTCTCCCGGAGATTTGGAGGGAAAGGAGGGAATCAATTCCCAGATTCGCAAATTCACAGTCATCTTGTAGCTCTGAGATGGCTAGATCTGATTCCTCGGCAATTATCCTCTTCGCATGTTCGATAGGCTTAGGAACTGAGGGGGCCGGCTGCGGTTCACGAGACTTGACAGTCGGACCCGGCCTCTGAGTGTCTCGAGAATGCCTAGCCGTGCCTGTTGTTGGAACCGTTGCTGGAGCTGAAGCTGCAGGCTTTGTTACACCTGCTGGCGGTAATAGGCGATTAAGAATATTGCGTGGAATACGCTGGAACTTCAATCCCCCAACAACACCAACGACCTCATTTCCATGGAGAATATAAACATTCCCGACCATAACATTATTTGGTGCAGGCTGCATCTTCACGTAAGTTGTGTAGACAGTAGCGCGATCCAACGCCCGAGCAAATCTCATAGATTTCCAGCCATGAGAAATGTAGACAGCATCTGACCCAGCAGCACCACCACCATTAAGCAGAAATCCAGAAATATGGGCAGAACTATCAATCCAAAACGGACTGACCATGAACTTCCCATCCTTGTCCTCGGTTTGGAATGCAACCTTAGCGGTACCTTCGACATTTTTGCCGTCAAAGATCACCTCTTCCATGCCCTGGAAGGGACGCGAGTACGAAACAAGTGAGGCAAAGAGCTTATATGCGGTCCCTCGAGATACCTTGTCTGCTTCATTGCGTTCAAGCTTATCTTGCAACATCGAGATACGATCTTTTATCCAGAATGTGTTCTCTTCCCAGTCAGTAATCCAGTTTGCTTTATCTTCAAAGTTCACAACACATTTGGCATGGACTGCAAGCTCTTTTCCGTTACTATCCACACTGGTATACTGCAGAGACGCTTGCTTCTGCGCCCAATCAGCAGTGACAGAGAGCTGAAGGAGCTGAGAAGTGGTGATGTTGTCCTTCACAATCAGTGGGTTCATAACCTCCATATGTCCAACATTGAGACCAATGTTCTTCTTGTCCTGCTTAAGCTCTGCGATAATATACTCACAAACCGTAAGTGCCATATCCGCATAGAGGGATGAAGGGCAGAGCCCGGCGCCATTGACCATGTGTCCACGAATAGCTGCGCGCAATGCCGGATCCAACATGTCTGACTGCGTCACCACCCGGCCTTTGTCGCCATTGAACTCCTCAAAGGCAATCCTTTGCACGGAAGTCGTCGACAACTTGGGCGTAACTGAAGCAGGCTCCATACCCTGCGTGGCCTTACTATTGCGTGTATCAACCTTGTGCAGACACCAGTCGTTTACGTAGTCAATCCAGTAGTTTTTGTTGTCGAAGCGATATTGCGGAAGACGCAGCAATTGATGACTCGCATTATACTCGTGGTGAAATTGGTGCCAGTCTATGGGAACACCAGCAGTAAGAAGTGTTCCCGTAGCAACTACTAGTGTCTTCCAGGAATTTTCACCTCTCTTAAGGGAAGGGATGGCTGCCATGCTGCCACCAACTGTGGTCTGTACCATTTTCGAGCAAATTGGATGAGCGCCGATCTCAAGTAGCACTGTCTTAGCATCCAGGAACTTCTCATCGACAGCACTTTGAACGGCGGCGGTGAAGTTAACAGTCTCTCGGGCATGGCGGGCTAGATACGAAGGATTGAATATTCCATCAGTAGAGATGGTCTCCCCCAGTAGTGGGGATATAACTGGTACATTCGGCTGGTTGAAGATCGTAGACGATGCTATAGATTCAAATTCCTCCAGGATAGGATCAAGCTGGGCTGAATGGAACGAATACGGAATATCCAGAACCTTGAACTTGAATCCGGCATTAGTCAACCCTCGTTGCAGCTTCTGGATATTCTCTCTGCTTCCGGAGAGAACCGATTCATTTGGAGAGTTGGAACAGGCTAGGTCGAATGTGGGTAGATCTGAGGTATGACGAAGTTCATCAATTGATGCATTTACAGCAATCATACCATGTGTGCCAGGGGTTGTGTGCTGCTCAAGCAACCGGGCACGGTGCCCAACTAAATGGATCGTATCCACGGTGCTCAAAACACCCGCTGCATGCAGTGCAGCGTATTCACCCAGGCTGTGGCCAATGACTGCAGCCGGTTGGACTCCCCATGACTGCCACAGATGCACGAGGGCTATCTGGGCGCAAGTTAGCGTCAATTGGGCAACCATCGGGGATGCATCCTCAGTTGCACATTTGCCCTCAATAATCGGGAGGATCGAAGGGAAGCTCAGATCAGTCGATAGGCGATCTAGCTGCTGAATCTTGTCGCGGAAATCACGATTCAGCTCGTACAGTTGTTGAGCCATCCCTGTATAGAAAACGCCTTGGCCAGTAAAGACGAACACAACCTTAGGGGGCTTTGTTGGAGCTGGGGTCATATTGGACGTATCTAGGCGCTCTTTCAAGGCTTGGATCAGCTCACGACGGCTAGACGCGGTCATCGCTATACGGTTGCTATAGTGCGCTCGCCGAGCTGTCAAACTGTACGATAGGCTCCCGAGAGACACATCTGGATTGTCGTCAATCCATTCGATGAGCGCCGATATGTTGTTGCGCAATGCTGATAATGACTTCGCTGATACGACGAAAGGCAAGAATGGACGAGGGTCATGGTCCTTTACTGGTTGCATTCTCGACCCCTCCTGTAGCAGGACAGCTG